AGTTCCTGAAGGTTGAATTACATATGCAAGATCACCCAGAGGTCATGGGATGAAGAAGTGAGAGTGGCTGAACCTAGAAAGAGTTCCTATATTGTAATAACTAGAGAATGAAGATAAAGAGACCACCCAGTGATGGATGCATGATCACTTTCTGTAGCAAGTGCCTGTAATTATCATAGAGATGTCTGTGGAATCTAGTCTAACTATAACACCTAGCTGGTAGCTTCAGGTGTACTTAATGGGCTGCTGTCCACAGTGGGCCTGATATCTGAGCATGGATACGAGAGGATCACAATTGGATATTTGAAGTCCCTCATCACACCTGGGTCTGAAATTGTTCTGATGTTTCCCCTCCCCATGTTAAGGGCTTAATCCCCAGACCGTGGCATTATGGAAAGGTAATAAAACCTTTAAGAGGGGGCTGGTAAGGAACCTCAGCAGGTAAGGGTGCATGCCATCGGGCCTGGTGACCTGAGTTTATCCTTGGAAGCCACATGGTAGAAGGAGAGAACCAACTCCCATAAATTGTTCTCTGACCTTCACACACATGCTGTGTGTGGTATGTGCATGCCCACATACACATACGCACACAATAAATACATAAATATATATATTTTTTGTCTTCTTGAGACAGGGTCTCCCTGTAGCCCCAGGTGGCTTGGAACTCACTATGTAGACCAGGCTGGCCTTGAACTCACAGAGTTCCTCCTGCCTCTGCCTCCCAAGTGCTTGGATTAAAGGTGTGTACCACAACATCCAGCTATAAATGTAATTTTTTTTAAAAGTTAAAAAATGAGCCAGGCGTGGTGGCGCACACCTTTAATCCCAGCATTCGGGAGGCAGAGGCAGGTGGATCTCTGTAAGTTCTAGGCCAGCCTGGTCTCCATAGTGAATCCAGGACAGCTGGGGCTACAGGGAGACCCTGTCTCAAAATGACCCCCCCCAAAAATGATGGGGCTGGAGAGATGGCTCAGCGGTTAAGAACACTGGTTGTTCTTGCAGAAGACCCAGGTTCGAATCCCAGCACCCACATGTCAGCTAACAACTGTCCATAACTCCAGTTCCAGGGGATCTGACCACCTCTTCCGACCACCTCAGGCATTGTACGACATGGGTGCACGCACCTACAGAGGACCTGGGTTTGATTTCCAGCACCCACACAACAGCTAACCATCTGTAGCTCCAGTTTCAGGGGATCTGATGCCCTCTTTTGGCCTCTGCAGGCATTGCATGACATGGTGCACTTATATACATGCAGGCCAAACACTTGTACATGTAAAATAAAAATAAATAAATAAATATATTCTTTAAATGATAAATGCTAGCCAAGTATGGTGACTCAGTATCTGTAATCCCAAAACTCAGGAGTCTGAGGCAGCAGGGTTATCTTGGGTTTGAGGTCATCATGAGCTACAGTGTGAGACTATCTCAAAAAACAAACAAAAAAGAAAAATGCAATAGTATGGATGAATCTTAATATGTTGTATTCTTTAATACAGTACAAACAAGTACATAATGATGATTCCAGTTACTTAAAATTCTAGATAAGTTGGCTCACTTCACATTGACAGAAAATTGGCAATTATGCCTTAAAGGGAGGGAAGGAAAGAATCACCAGGGCAACAGGTGACTCTGGGTGATGGAGTGATTGGTTTTCTGGAGGTGGCATCCTAGCTGCATGCATATGTCAAAGCCTAGCATTCTATACTTTAAACATTTGCAGTTTATCATGTGTTAATCTCAATAAGACTATTTTCTATTTTAAAAAGAAAGACAGAAGCCCAGGTCTGACATGTAGTTATTTATTCAGTTAGTCCTTACTTAAGAAAAAATTGTGTACCTGTGTGTGTGTGTGTGTGTGTGTGTGTGTGTGTGACATGCATGCCATGGTGTGTTTGTAGAGGCAAGGAAGAGGACAACCTGTGGGAGCCCTTTTTCTCCTACCATGTTGGTCCGAGGCATCAAATTCAGTTTATCAAGTTTGACAGCAAACTTCTTTACTTGCTGAGCTACATGGCCTCATAAAAAGCACTTTGGAAAGCCCCTGAGAAACCTCTACCCATCCCTGTCTGTCCTAGGATGGAAGGAGCCCAATCCAGAGACCACTAGGTTATGAGGCTGGCTCAACCCCTCTGTCTGGTGCCCAGTGGAGTTTGGTGCCCTCTCGTGGCCTACAGGGGCACAGCAGGCAAAGCTCCTCATTTCTCCTTTTTTGCCTGGAGTAGGGTGCCTACTTATCTTAGCCCAGTGGCCCTATGGGCCATCCCTCCTTTCATCAATTCATTTGTGCCCACTGACCCAGCTGTTGTCTCTATTCATAATTGAAACATTGACCAGAGATCTGGGTTATAAACGTGCCATCTTCCTGCCTAGATTGAGATGAGTTACAGATCCCTGCCTGGATCCTTCCTTTTAGACAAACATCTCTCACTTCTCACTCCTTATGGAGAAGGTTCATAGTTTGGGTAGGGGTAGAAGAAAGGACTTCTCTCTGAAGGCTGAGCCAACTCCACTGAAGGTTGTTTCCACGAAGTTTGTTCACCTGGCTCCATAGTAAGATATTTTTCTACCCTAGTCCTGCTGCCCCCACTTACCTCTTGCTGACCCTATACTCCCTCAGCATGGGGAAGTCAAGGCAACTGTCTAAAAGCCTGTGTCAGATTATATCATCCCCTGACTCAGCCTTCCAAGGCCTTTTCATCTCATGAAGTCCATGTGAGGCTTAGCTGCTGTGCCCTTGGACACAGGCCCACATGTATGCACCTCCCATCCTGTGATGAGGTGACACTGCTGTCTTTGCAGGATGTAATGTTGGGTGTTCAGAATTTGTATGGGAACCAACTGTGCATGACTCTCTTTTACACTCATGAAAACCAGTGCCAGGTAGTTTGGGATAAGTAATAGGAAGAATATTTTCATGGTTTTTGAGGCAGACAAAGAATTCTTTAAAAAATATATTGAATTATTTTTATTTCAGATATATGAGTGTTTTGCTTGTGTGTATGAAAGTGCACCACATGCATACAGTGTCTTCAGAGGGTGTTAGATCCCTTGGAACTAGAGTTAGGAGGGTTGTGAGCCACCATGTGGATGTTGGGAACCAAATTTGAATCCTCTCCAAGAACAGTAAGTGCTCTTAGCCACTGAGCCATTTCCCCAGCCATTTCCCTTTTTTTTCTGAAATAAGACCTCAGATAGCCCAGGCCAGCTTCAAATTTGAAGTGTAATTGAAGATGTCCTTGAACTCCTGATCTTCCTGCCTCTTTTTCCCAAGTGGGATTACTGTCATACATAACCAAGTCTAGTGGAACCAATTTTTTAAGAGGATAGAAGGCATTCAGGAATTCTGGCACATGCTTGTAACCCCAAATCTTGGGAGGCTGAAGTAAGATAATTGCAAATTAGAAGTCAGACTAGACTATAAAACAAGTCTGAAGTCATCCTAGGTCATGTTAAATAAAAATAAAAAATAGAGCAAGCAAGACTTAAGGACCCTACTTGGCCACTTGTTGGCTATGTGGCTGTGTGCAAGTTACCCTCCCTATATCTCATGCCCTTCAGAAAGAAGGGCCTCCTAGTGCCTCTCTTAGAATTCATGAGTTTATAGAAAGGTGGTCAATGGCTGGCAAGGGGTCTAGTACAGATGCTTGTTGGCCTGTCCATATCTGTGGGGAAAGAGTGGCCACCCTGTTTTGGGCCATCCATTGAATTTACTGTCTTCTTGGCCCCTCTCAGTCCTTTTTGAGGCCCAGGGTCCATGGATATCTTAGGAGCCCCTCACAAAAGCAATGAATGCTCTATTTTCCTCCAGGACCCCTTGAAGGTTTAGCAAGGAATAAATGCTCAGGAAACTCCTGTGGGTCCTGGATATCAGACCCAGGGTGGCAAAGCTGCCTGTAAAGTTGGGCTAGAGATTCAAGTGACAGATGGATTTGAAGTTTCATAGTAAGCTGGAAGTACAGGTAACCTTCTGTTTGGAAAGGGAGACCTGTATGGTGTTGATCACAGGACAGGTTTTGCTAATTGCATTTGGATGTGACCTTAGCTGGTACCAGCCCCTGGCTACACCAGGAAGATGTCCCTCATATAGCTGGAGGCCCCTCAAATGCCATCTATTTGTGGCCTGGCATTGAGACCTGCACGAGTCATAAGTGAGCCCAGCGATGGGATATTTTTGGCATTGGGGGTGGAGCTTGCAGTAAGAAGTCCAGCACCATGCTTCTTGGGGAAAGGCTGCTAGATGCCTAGCTCTACTGTCTCAGCTCTACTGGCTGCTGAGACCCAGGTAGGACAAACTCAGCTCCTCTATTCTGTCTGGAGGTCCTAATGGTCACTATGGCCTCTTTAGCGGCTAGAGAGGGGAGAAAGGGTTGGTGGGTCTGAAATCCCCAGTGGCTTTTCCCACTCAGGACTCTACCAGTCATAGTGACCTCTCATCCTCTTGATTCTTGCAGTATCTGATCAAGGCGCAAAGAGCAGACACTATAGAGGGTAGAGGCTGGAGGTCCTGGTCAGCTCTGATCACCTTGTTTTCCTATGATGAGGCAAAATGAAGCCTTGGGCAGTTGGGCAGAACTAGGTGGTAGTATAGACCCTAAGGATAGCCAGAGGGGGCTGATGGGGGTTCAGGGGGCTTATCTGTATTCTGTGACCTCTGGCCCAGGCTCTTCTTGCAGACTTCTGAGCAGGCTATGGCCAGTACCAGTGTGACCTTGGTGAGCTCAAGAAGCCTGTTCCTGCCAAAGCTGGTGGAAGGTCACCATCCAGAAGGCTAGTCACCTGCTGGATACTACAGCTCCTTTTCTGTGGTTAGCTGTCAGTGGAGGACAGGCCAGGGATGACTATCCCTAGTGGGTGGCCTTCATTGCAGACCTTTGTTTATAGAAGTAGAGAAAAGAAGTCGATCCCACTGAACAGATCTCAAGAGGGAATATCATTCAAATATGACCAACACTAGTCTTTAGCTTGCTTCACTAATATGAAATTATATTTCATTTTAGGATTGTGACAGTGTGTCATGGTAAAGTTATTTGGAGCTGATTTGAAAATAGGGGGAGCTGGAGTTGGAGATTTCTAACTCAGAAGAAAGAATGAATTAGATTTGGAAGAAGCAGAGTTTCTCTTCTGTGTTACCTCCAGATGGAAATGAACTGCCAGGGAAGGGGCCGGTGTTACTAGGGCAGGTGGGGTAGTGGCAGTATGTGCTGCTTGGTGCATGGGGCCTGGATTTGTGAAGACCCTACCTGGCCCAAAGTCTTGTTATCACTCTAGTGCCTCTGTTGACCAGCAATGGACAACTTCCAGTATAGTGTCCAGCTCAGTGACCGAGAGTGGGCCGAGTTCTCAGCCACTGCTGACGAGTGTGGCCTCCTGCAGGCTGGCTTGGCCTCTGGTGACGAGCTCTTGTCCAGTGACATTGACCAAGGGGACAGCAGTGGCAGCAGCCCCCCTGGGCCTCCACCCCTCTTCATTGGGCAGCTGGATTCCAGGGGGAGGGGCCAGCAGGGCTGTGAGGTGGAGTACGTGGCCACTCAGCAACTGGTCAGCAGGTCTCAGTGTGAGCCTGTCCTGGCTCAGGGGTCCAGTCAGCAGGTAGCCGGCACGTCCATACAATCAGAAGGTCTACTGTTCCTCTGCCCTGACGGTGCCCTTCCTGACCAGGGCTTATCCCTCCCAGGGTCAGCAACTTCCAGAGACAAGATGCAGAGGCTTTTGCAGGGACCTGCCCCCAGCCCCTCTGGAGAATCCTCTCGAAGTCCTGAGTCCCCTGGTCATAGTGCTACCCCTCAGAGGACTCCTGACAGTCCCGGAGCCTCACTGTGGAGCCCTGGCCGCAAGAAGAGGCGTGCTGTAGGTACAAAGGGGAGCAAGTGCTCAGGACCTCTGGGTCCTACTACTGTCCAGATGGGCTCCTCGCTGCTGAGTGAGACCAGGCCTGAGGAGGGCCTTGCGACTGGGCCAGAAAAGCTGATGGCAAAAGACCAGCAAAATAAGCCAGAGCCAGATTCTGCAGGTGCTTCTGAACATGGCTCTAGTACCTCTGAGCAAGTTGCCAGACAAGGGTCAGGCTTGGATCTGTCTACGCCTGTTCTAATAACCAAACAAGGTACAGATCAGATCAGAATGACACCAAGAGCTGAGCTACACATGGTATCCAAACCTGTCCAGGAGGCTCATTCAGATGTCTTCATTATCAAGCCAGATGTGACTCTCTCTATACCTGTCTCCAAGTCTCAACCAGACACAGCTTTGTCTATACTCACCTCCAAGCCTCAACCTTACATGGTTTTGTCAGAACATACCTCAGAGTCTCAATCTGACCTAATTTTGTCTACACATGCCTCCAAGTATGACATACTTTCCTTCAAACTTCAACAAAATATGAATCTGTCTACACCTGCCTTGGATCCTGAGAAGGTTTTGTCTGCACCTGCCTCCATGCCTCAACTAGACAAGGCTGAATCTGTGTCTGCCTGCACACCTCAACTGCATGTGGACCTACCTGCAGCAGGTCCAGGAATCAAGACAGAGGTGGATTCTTCTATGCCTGCTTCAGTGGTTGTGCTGTGTACTGATCTGCCTCATTCTGTTTCCCAGGCTGAGTCTGAAGTGGGTGTGTCTACACCTGCTATGCCTTTTTTACCCCCTGTTTCCAAGGCTGAAGCTGCAATGGTGGACACAGAGGTGATTGTGCCTCCAGGGGAACATCTAGAGAAGCCAGGAAGGGAGCTCTCACCAGGGACCTCTGGCTACTCCTCGGTGGAGTCCTGCCTAGGTCCTGTCCAAAACCCCAAGAAGAAGAAAGTACGATTCTCCATGGCTGTACCCAGCCATGAGGAATCAGGGTCAGGGGAGCCTACAGGTCCACCTTCTCTAACCTCAGCCTGGCCACCAGCCCCAAGGACAGCTTCAGGGAGCCGTGGGGGTTCTACAGCCTGGGATGCTGTGGCTGTTGGGTCCCGCCCTCCCCAGCCCCGGATCCTCAAGCACCTGCCACCCCCTACCCCCTCTGCCTCAAAAGAACCTGAGCCTAGAAGCTGTTTTGCAGTGACTCTCCCTGAGGCCTATGAGTTCTTTTTCTGTGACACCATCAAGGAGGAAGATGAAGATGTAGAAGATGAGGCAGCAGCCAGTCAGGCCCTGGATGAAGTCCAGTGGCCTGACACATGTGAGTTCTTTTTCCAGGACTGCCAAGCCCAAAGGTCAAGTTGCCAGAGAGGACACTCTCCAGCCCCACTCCTGAGAGCAGAGGCTGTGGCAGATGCTCCCCCTGGAGACTTGGTACCTATCTCCATCCCTGAGGCTTATGAACACTTCTTTAGCCAGGAAGGATTTGAGAGCACACTGCCACCAACTACCTTTCTCCAGCTGCAGACCTCAGAGCTTTCCAGGGAAGTGGGGCCTGAGGCATTCCCCAAGCCTGCTTCAGAAACAGCAGAGCAACTTGGCTTGATAGTCAGAGAACCAGGTAGGTGTGGCTTAGGTCTCAAGCCCCATCCAGGTCCTGGGAACACTTTGTCCAGGGAGCTAGGCCAAGGGGAGATATGGGGGAGGGACAGGGAAGGATTCTGGCCATCAGCCAGTGTGTGTGTGTGTGTGTGTGTGTACACACTCAGGGAACTACTGGGAGGGAAGGACGAGTCCTAGCCATCCCAGGACACAGTCCAGATGGGGCAGCTCAGGCCAGGCACCAAAACCGTTCAGCATTTTGGCTCTACACTGACCACTGTCGTAAGTCCAGGCTCAGGTGCCAGCAGGAACACTTTTCCAGCTTCTATGGGGGCAATTCCTAGCTGCTAGGGGCCCATTCCCACTCAGGCTATGCTGCATGAAGCACTATGAAACAATATCTCCTTTCTCCTTTGGAGACTATTTCATCGACCATAGAACAGAAGATCCTAAGGGAAAATCCCCCAATTGTCTTGACTCAACATGCAGTGTCTCAAGGAAGAGAAATCATGGGCAAGATCTGACTCAAACAAATGTGTCTGGGGCAGATGGTATCCTAGAGCAGGCATGTTCTGGGCAGGCGTGTCTCAGAGAGGGGCAACTAAGAGTGTGCTTGTCTTTCCAGGGGAGCTCCGGAGTCCCTTTGCCTCATTTACCTTCAGCCAGAATGATATGTGCCTGGTGTTTGTCGCCTTTGCTACTTGGGCTGTGAGAACTTCAGATCTACATGCCCCAGATGCTTGGAAAACAGGTCTGGGGCCCCTAAGAACAGAGGGTGTTGTGCTTGGAAGTAAGACTCAGGGGCTGGACTGTCTACCTCATCTGCTGTGCCAGCAGGGATGAAGGGTACATGGGAGGTTCAGGTACTCTTTGATCTTTTCTCATTGCTGACTGACCTCCAATACAAAGCTGTCCTTGTTTTGTCCTTTGAGATCATGTAGGCAGAAGGAAGTGGGAAGCCAGAGCTGGCGCTCAGGAGAGCTTCTGCTTCTTTTACAGTCTTGCTGGCCAACATTGGCACCATCTCTGCTATCCGCTACTTCCGCCGTCAGGTGAGGCAAGGGCGTAACCACAGCCTAAGCCCCAGTTCCAGCCCAAGCTCCAGCTGCTAGTAGCCAGGCCGGCCTGCTGAAGTACAGGACATGAAGATGAACCCATGTGCCCAGGACAAGGTGCTGCTCTTCTCCTTATCCTTTGACCCATCTTCTACGTCATCTAGGAGAGAACCAGTGTTCTTGGTACTGACTCCCTTGGACTCCACCTGAGGGTCCAGCCAGTGGCTATTACCAAGTTCACTTACCATACCTGGGAGAGTAGAGATTCAGGATTTTGGTTGAGTGGGCACTGAGGAGGGAACTGGGTAATAGGGCATCAGATTAGCAACTAAAAACTCTGGGGCACCCGGCTCAGTTTGAATATACATGCAATTCTTGGGATGTACTTATTTGAAAAAAATTGTTATCTGAAATCTAACTTAACTTGGTATGCTGCCTTTCATTTGGTCATGTAGGTAGGAAGAGCAGCAAGAGAGGACTCCACAGGGTCAAGTGTCAGAGTAACAAGGCCCCACTGGGTCTGGGAAGGGCTGAGATGAGGGTACTGAGTGGATTCAAGGCTTGGTGGAGACAGTCCAAGGACTCTGCCCTATTCACAGGCAAGTTGAGCTGGCAAGGACCTCCAAGGCTCTGAGCCCTGAGGCACCACAGCTATAACTTGCATAGGCCTCGCCTGAGTCAGTGATCAGGTCCTGGGAAACACCTCCAGAGGAGGCTTCTGAAGCCCCTGCAATGTGGGGGCAGGGCTGGATCTTCTCTGAGAGTCTTGGATAAGGTGCAGATAGAATTTGGTGGCCTCCTATGGAAGAATTGTATCCTGAGACTGTCCCATATGGAGCTTTTAAGGAACCAAGGCTGAGGGGAGTTGTAGAGTGAGAAGATAGATGAGGAGACTAAGGTGGCACAGCGATAGCCAGTGCAGAGTGGGGTTCTGCTCAAGGCAGCACATGAAGTCCCTAGGATGATGGGGGAATCTGGTTGCTCAGGGGGGGACACAGTGACACAGCACCAATAAAATCTCTCTTTCTTGTTTATAGTGTTAATCTCTCTGACTAGTCTTACTCTATTTACCCAACAATACTAGATCTTCCCATTCTTCTCACTAAGCACTACTCTACTTGTGATAGCTCTCACCTTACTGACCTCCTACTCTCATGCCCTCTGACCTCATACACACTGAGCTTGACAACCTGACTTTTTCCATGTACTTCAAATTCCTGCTGTCCCCCACTTCTGGGTGATGATCTGGTCTAGCACCCTCAGCATCAATGATGAGTATCTCATTGGTATCCCTTCCTGGTTTGTCCCTAGGAAGAGGCACCTCCCTCCAGTTGCTCTAGCTGCTAAAGCTGAGGAGTCAGACAGAACCTGGTGAGAGATGCTTCTACTCTTAGCATTCTAGAGACACCCTTGACCTACTGGGGTCAGACCCTGGTGGATTTAATGACGGCTAAATAGGGCTAGTATGGCTACATATTCCCATCCAGGTTGGTGCTAGCTAGTTATGTTTCTGAGAAGCAGCCCATCTCAGGGCCATCAGATCCATTGGATGAGTCCCCCCTCCTCTGCAGGCCTTCTGAGCCGTGGCCACTTCTGGTGGGAAGGAGATGAAGTCCTGTCACAGACAGGAGCCTCTTCATCTAGTAGGGAAGACAGAAGCAAGTCAGGCATCAGCCTGTAGGAAGTTAGCACCTCTCCCTAGAAAGAGGGAAGACTCTCACTTACCTGGGGGAGGAAGCAGGGTACCGGGTGAACCTTCCCTGGTAGGGATAACCTGGGAGTCCCAGAACACAAGTCTCAGAGCCAGCAGCACAGATCAGTCTACCCAATCTGCCAGGCCCTTGCCACATTCTTCTCCTTACCCCCAAGCTTCCTGTTCTGCCACCCTCTGTTGGTGTCCTTGGTCTCTTCCTGCCCCATATTCTCTGAGTTTTCTTTTCCCCTTGGAGTCCCCAGAACCCTCTGCCAAGCATGCTCTGATCCCAGGGCCTAGGACCACCTCATACCAGAGTACAGAATGCTACTCACAAGCTGAGGGGAGTCTGGGGGCCATGGCCCCCTGCTCTTAATGGAGCTCCGGTGTCTCTGGGAGGCTCTGGAATGCAGGGTACCTTTCTTGGAGAGCAAATGGGGGGTGAGGGGCCCAGGGGAGCTGGAGATTCCAGAGCTGGGATCAGAGACAGGCACAGACACGGGTACTGAAGGGAATGGCCTTGATAGCTCAGGTCCAGATGAAGTCTGCATCACTTTGAGGAACTGCTGGGAAAGTATTGGTAATCTGAGGCCCCAGTCTGGGACTACTGTGAAGCCCCAGGATCCCTTGCCTAGAAACACCCTTAACCTCTCTTCATGGCCTTCAAGCTTTTGGCATCTTTTTAACTCCACTGCAGCATACGTAGCAGGGCACTGACCTCATCTAGGCCTTGGATATCTGTGATCTTGCGGTGGGATGTAGCTGGTGGTGTGTAGGGATCAGCATAGAGTGGGGAGTGTGGGTTTTCCAAAGAGTGGTCTGGAGCCTCTGTGCCACTGTCCAGGCCCAGCACATTTACCTACAGGAAGAAGGGGAGACATGGGTTCCCCCAGCTGGAAGCAACCAGAACCTTCAATACTTTGAAAAAGAGGTCTCTGGGGGATTTAGGACAACCTGGACTGAGAGACAGACAAGTAAGTAGAAGCAGGAGGGAGAACAGCCTGGGGTCATGGCATGTGGTGGGCCCACCTTGGTCAGGTCCAGGTTCAGGGGCAGTGGGATAGTTGGGCCAGGTACTTCTCGGGCCTTGCCCTTGGATGACTGGTTGCTGCTGCTGCGCCTCAGCTCTGTCCTCTTTCGGCCAATGCTGGCACAGTTAGGGTTGGCCTGGTTCTGTGGGAACCAAGAACCTCCCAGAAAGTTCTCCTGTGCCTTTTCCCCACAGTCTCTTCTTCTATGAGGTTGCATGGAAGTCTAACTAAGTGCCCTCCCTGAGGAACCAGGGACCAGAGTCACTATGGAATTGGGGGACCCGGGCTCCCTAGCAAACAGAAGTCCCATAGTTTCCCACCTACTTTCCTCTTTCATTCCCTCAGGTACTCACAGGTACAGGATGAGCAGGGCAGCTTATAGAGGATGGCACTGAGGACTCAGGGAGGGAGTGGCTTGTGCAGGTGTTAGGGGGCAGTGGACACTCTAATTTCCATTTGGTCTGTCCATCAGAAGAGAGTGAACCTTGGTCTCCACCCATAACCTAGGCAGCAGAGGTGAGGTGAGTAGCTAGATCTGTCTCCCTACCTGTTCCTGCCTCAACCCACACCTCTGCTCCTATTTTGTACCACTACCTAGGACCTGAGCTATAGGGGCCCCACTGACCCCTCACCTGTGTGGGTTCTTGAAGTCCTAGGAAACTCTCTGGGCCAGGTAGCAGGTAGGCCCCATCCCTGCGAGAGACAGTCCGAAGGCAAAGCAGCCAGTGACTGTAATCCTCATAACTGGCACATACCACACGAATGGTGTTGATGAGGTGGCCTAGCACACAGACAATGTGAACTGAGGCCTGGCAGGACAGGGTGCATTCCCTATCCATACAGCCCCCAGCAAAGAGCTGGGCCATCCACCAGGATCACACTCTTCCCAGGAGGCCAGCTAAGCAGTGGGCAGATATGAGGGAGGACCTCACCTTCAATTAGGAAGGAGCGGATCTCCTTCTCCTTCTCTTCCAGGTTGATATGGATGGCACTCAGTGGAAGCTCCCCCTGTGGAGTGAGGAATAGGCATTCATTTGGGTCACCCCAACCTTTGTCAGACCCCATCCATTTGTCCTGCCCTCCAGAGCTGGGCTGAATACTTAGTCCACTTTGCACTGAGGTTGACACCCTAAGGAAGACTAGGTGGTTCTTTGTCCTGGGACATCTTCACTCTATCTCCTGTTGGATCATCACCAGAGATGCCAGTTGCAGACAGATGCTTATAGGGACTGGCCCCTGTCAAGGAAGCACCCTTTGTGTGTTTTTCAGTGACTGCGAATACACACCAGTATAATGCAATGGCTGCAGAACACACACACACACATACACACACACGCACACACACACACTCACACACAAAGGGTGAAGGTACTCAGAAACAAAGGGGATAAGCAAGCGTTCATGAGAGACTCCAGAGTGGCTGGCTGATGAACCTCCAGGATGAGATGGGATGTGGAGAGTGGGTACTCCTTCTCTGCACCAGAGCAGAGACTAGATTGACCAGGGGAGCCAAATAGGTGGAACCTTATGCTCTGCCCCAACAGGCCTTGAAAAACAGGTTTCTGAGTCTCCACCCCCACCCCACAAAAGGCACCTCCCTGGGGCAGGTCTTCTTGGGGAGGGCCCACCTTAAAGCCAAGCCCATCTGGCTCCTCAGAGAAGATGGCCAGGGATGCTGGGTACAGTACTAGGAGCCGGTCCCACTGCTCCTGTAAGGGATTAAAGGATGGAGTGGGGCTGGGCACTTACAGTCCTGACCTACCTGCTCCTACATTCCTTTCTGTCTCATCAGACTCCATGTTTCCATCTACCCACCTGGGAGGGCAGATATTGCAGCTTGACCCTTGAAGCACAGATGGCACTGCTCATAAATTCATGTCTTGATGCTCTTTGAAGCTGGGTCAGACTGCACTGCAGAGTCCAGGAGAGTTCATTCCCCTGAGGACCCTGGGGAGGAGAAAGAAGTACATTAGGGGCAGAGCTTTCAGATGGGGGAGGGGCTCGAGGATTCTTGTCACTGACCTGTGGGGGTGCTGAGTGGCAACGCCGCAGACCCCCCATGAGGGCCATTTGCTTCTCCAGGTGGTAGAGCCAATGCCTGAGCTCTGCTTCACTGTGGCAGAGAACAAGGAGCGGGGCAGGGAGTGGGCCTGAGGGTGAAAGAGTCAAGTGGACTAGGAGGCTAAACTTATAGTTCCCAGAAGTCCACAGGAAAGTCTCTTCTCCAAGGCCACCAAGCAGACCTCCAAGGTACAGGTCCAGAGGTGCCCTTTGGGGGCCAGGCCAGTACTCTCCACATACCTGTAATCTGGAAGGTGTGCTCTCTGGACCCATCAATTGGGCAGATGCTCAATTCTGTCAGTGGTAGCAGCCCCTGCCACAGGACAGTGTAGGAAGGGCTGCAGGGACTCCAACAGGACAGAGCCATCCCCTCCCCTTGTCCATACCACTCACCTGGAATGTAAGTCCTTCAGAACCATGGGCCTGGAAGTACAGGTGGGAGGGGAACAGCTCTAGGTAGCAGTCACTGATGTCCTAGAGGGGGAGCAGGACCACCAGTCTTAGAATATGGAGGACCAGCCCCAGGCTGGCAGGGATGTTGGTTCCTGAGCATTCCTCTACCTGGTATGGCCCCTACCTGGCTGTGTTGGAACCGCAGTTGGACTTTGGAATAGTGTACAACTTTGCCTAGGTTCCTCACAGGTGTCCTCTGCCGCCCCTTTTTGAATACACTCAGGAACGGCTGCTCTAGGTTTTCTGGCTGATTTTCCAGGCTGGGAATGTCCTGGGGGAGCAGGGTTTAGAGAAAGGGCCAGAGCCCCAGGCAACATACACATAGCCACTGTATACGGTCCTGATCTGTTCACTCATGGCTACAAAATACATCAAGAACATACACATAGATGTGGACTGTACACGCACTGAAGCCTCTTCACATGAAAAGTAGCATTATATGTATACACCATACACATACACATAACTTTTTCACTCTGTGGTACATAGTGAGGTTAGGAGTCAGTGGGTTCAATCTTTATCCTCATTATTTCCTACACTGTGTAACTTGACTTTGGTCATTCAAGACTTTCCAAAGAGTTTTGAAGTGTCTCGATGAGATAACACTCAAAGCTGTCTCATGTTTTCAATGTCAGTTGGCAATGTTTTATTACTTGGTTCTATGAAAAAACAAAAACAAAAACATCCAGGGTCCTGGCTTGTAATATTTACTACTTTCTTTGGTATAAATATTCCTGGCACTGCCCACTTTGGTCTACCAAAACAATGTCTGTGAACTTGGAGGTGGAAGGAGACATTAGCCAGCTTTTGTGAGCCTACGCTGGCTTCCCCAGTTCACCATACATATACTATTTATCTCACTCACGGTAGAGCCATGACAATAGCCTGAGGAGTTCTCTGATCTGACTCAGGGCCTGGTCCTTTTCTTCCTTTTTCCAGTCACATAAGGCACATGCTGTATAATCTTTGCACTTGCAGTGCCTCTGCTGGGACTACTCAGCTCCAACTCCCCATCTCACCCATTCAGGGCTTCTCTCTGGATGCCCTTCTAAAACTCTAACCTTTGCTTTTCTCTTAGTACTGATTTAGTCTGGCTTACTCTATCTTATCTTGTTTGTCTTAACTGTTTTTGACATAGGAATGGAAGCAGGTAAGAAAAGCAGTCTAGTCTACTTTGTTTACTCTTGTCTCTACATAGCCTGAGAAAGGGCCTGGGCTGTGCTGGGAGGGAGGGAGGCTCAACATCTATACAATACTAAGCCAGTCCAGGCAGAGTTCTTTTATTTTTATTTATTTATTTATTTTTTTGTCTTTTTTGAGACAGAGTCTCCCTGGCACCTGCTATGTAGACCAGCTCACTAGGTAGACCAGGCTGACCTCAAACTCACAGATATTCACCTACCTCTGCCTTCCAAGTATTTTTATTTATTTATTTATTTATTTTGTCTTTTTTGAGACAGAGTCTCCCTGGCACCTGCTATGTAGACCAGGCTGGCCTTGAACTCACAGAGATCTGCCTGCCTCTGCCTCCAGAGTGCTGGGATTAAAGGCATGTGTCACCACGCCCCGCAGGCAAAGTTCTTTATAAATGGGAGGTTTGATATCATATTAGGGGTCAGGTAGGAATGGGTGCTAATGGCATGGAATGAGCTGGGATCCACAGGCTTAGGAGTAAGCTGGGCAGCAAGGAATGTTCTCTTTGGAAGCTGCCCAGAACCACCTGCATGAGGTGCTATGCACTGGCCAAGTTGAACTACTTCTAGCGCAGGCCTAGGAATGTGAACAAACAGACACAGATCCCATCCTTCCTGACTATGGGTGGGGCCTCCTGTACCCACGTCCAGTGTGGAAACTGATGCTGGACAGCACCTGCCAAAAACAGGCCATGAATCAGGAAGGGCCATGAAGCTGGTGTTAGGGCCTAGACAGCCTTGGAATTGTGACGGCCAATTATAGCACAGGTGCAGAATTCACCTAGAGCCCAGTGCCCAGTTGCAGTGCTCAGGAGGCTTGGCTCCATGCCTGGACAGGATTCCTCCCCCGACCCTACCTCCTGAGTGTCATACCCTGCCCCATCCAGCTATTGTGTCCTGGCTAGGGAGGACTACCAGGGAACCTTGGGACTCCCTCCCAGAATCATAGGACAAGCCCTGGACCTGAATGGAGGAAGTTGGGGTCTGAGATAGGGCCATAGAAAGGGATCCCACATCTTGACCAGGCCAGGGCCCCTCTTCCTCACAACTTCTGAAAATTTTGAGGCTGGCACTTGCCTTCAGGGAGCCCTGGGATCTCAGAGACCAGGAGATGTCGTGGTAGTATTCCCAGCTTGGTGAGAACATGTGAGAAAGGTATGCTCTGGTAATCTAAATCAGCTACAGCACCAGGAATACAGGATGGGAGTCTTGCCCTAGCCCTGATAGAGAAGTCCAGGTGCCTGTACACAAGACAGAGGCTCCTCCACCCTGGTGGGTGTGGTCCTCTGAGAGCAGTGAAGTAGGAGGTGTTCCTGTTAGACCTGCAGCCCAGGCTCCTCTCAACCTAATACCAGAGAGTTGGGAAATGGGACTGGGGGTCTTTCCTCGAAACTAATCCTTAGACACATAGAATGGTTGTTCTTCAGCTCTCATGAGAGTTAGTCTATAGGTGCTCTGGAGCCAGCTCCTTGCTGTATGGGGAGAGGGACCTGCAATAGGGGATTGTGGTAGCTGCTGGCTGCAGAAACAGCTCTGCCGGGTGTGGGGGTGTATGGGGACTGAAACATGGTCTGGTCCTGGAGTAAGCTCGCTATTGACTTTGAAGCCTCAACACTGCTGTCTGCCATCCGCCCCACTGAGAGGGCGTGGGGTCGGGGGGTGTCCCCTTGGATGCATAGCAGACTAAGAAGGCCCCGCCCTGTTTGCTACTGACTCAGAAACTGGTCTCAGTTTCGCTCTCAACCCAGACTTTCGGTGGATAAGCTCCCCAGGGAAGGGCAGTGTCCCCTTCCTCACGTTGCTTTGGATTTGATTCCCCCAAGCTGGCCAGGGAAGACCCTGAGCTGTTGAAAATGCAATGTCCACACTGTCACCATACATTGGCACACACAGTCATACAGGGGAAGCACAGAGCAGTACCCAGACTCCAGACCAGGTGCCATAGCAGACCGGTACTGGGCTGAACCTGACCATGCAGACCACCCAGGCCGCTGTTGCCCCACCGGGATACGCCCCTCTGCTCACCGTCCCGGGGATGTAGTGGAAGATCTTTTCAGCCACGGTGTCACCATCAGGGCTGGCCTCAGAGCCAAACAGGCCAGGTAGCTTCCTGGCGCTACCTTCTCTGAGAACAAGGAAAATGAGGCTCATGGCCTGGTCCTGGCAGCAGGTTGAGGGAGCCCCTATTGCTTCATGGCCAGGCCACGCCCCTCACCTGTTTCCCTTCAGCGATGGCTTTCTGGAGAAAGAGGCCCGCAGCCTCCTGGGGGCCTGAGGGACGCAGTGGCTGTTCCCCATGGGTGGCGGCAGCTAGCCTGGACTGGGCAGGTCGACAGGTCTGGGTCTCTGGTCCCAAGCTGTCTGCTAGCACCTCCAGCTGGTAGGCGTGGCCACGGAAGGCCCTGCCCTTACCCAAGGGCCAAAGGAGGGGCCTCTGTGGGCTCATGATTGCTCCGACCTGAAGGGAGCCTTCCAGTGGGACCTAGTTTCTAGGGTTCTCCCCGCAGGGCAGCCTTAGGGCAAGAACCCCACCTCAGCTGCCAGTTTATACAGGTCTGGCCAGGAAGTCCAGGTTTGTATACTACCTATGCTCAGTCTGGAGATGCCTGGATGTTGTAGTTCTGTAAACCCAGGGATCTCGCCTCCCAGTTGCCCTTCTCCTACACATCCTGTTTCCACATTGATCCCAGTTGGTGAGCCACTGGTGGCTATAGAGGACTTGTGTTCACTCTTAATTGTTGAAAGAGTGCAACATCATATGAGGGGAAGCCAGAACCGTCCCTTCAGCTTCTCTCCTGCCTGGGCCAACACTTACTCCAGACCCAAATCAAGGTCCCCAAGGCTAAACCAAAAGCAGCAAAGAGGCCATATGGCTCCCAGGTGCCCAAGATAGTAAGGATGAGGTATGGGGCCTATTTTCCTTATGTGCCCCACAGCCTTAGAATATGGGGTCTGACAGGAGCCTCAGGACTAGGATAGCAGCCAATCTCTGCTTGTGAACAGGTACACCGGTCTGTGCCCCATGTGGATATAGAATTGCTGTCTTGCAACTCTACACACTAACACCCAATATGTGAGCAGGGTTGCACATTTGTTTATAGACCTCCACCCTATTGTTCAGACAGGAACCAAAGATGTGCTGCAGCCATAAGCAGAGGGGACAAAAAAGGTCAGAGATGGACACTCAGCCTCAGGCCCATGGAGCCTAAGAAACATATTTATTGTTCAAGTTGGCTCATATTGCTATGCAGTGTCTAAGTGCATGTTATGTGTCCAGCTTCATACAGATCCAGAAAAGACACGACATTGTATACACAAGACACAGGAACTCTGCTTTGAGCCCTCAGGGGCAGTGCCTGGCAGGGACAAGAGCTGTGTGCAAAAGACTGGCTAGGGGTCTGCACCTTCTGAGAAAGCCTCTGCCTCCACTACTGCTCTACTATGACAGCCGCTCTGCTTCCTGCTGTTTACAGAGCCCAGATGTGTCGCTCATTCTCCTGTAGTGAGTGTTTACTCCCAGCATTCCCTGCTGCCTCCACAAAGAGGTAGCCAGGTGAGAAGACATTCTGGAGGGCTGCTTGATCCCCTGCACGCAGGAGAGTTGACATCAGAGAGTAAATGTGTGAACTGGTAGCTGCAGCATTTCTCATCCATCAATAAATAATGAACCAATAAATAAGTAAATAAATGGCACACACATAAATGAACAAGAACGAATAAACACAAAGACAAGGACTGAAGGAGCAGGAAGTCCCTGGTGGGGTTTGTGATCTGCCCCAACACTTGGCAGAAGACAGGAAGGTGGTAGGGCTGCCCTGTGGGGCTTAAGGCATGTGGAAGGCTTCTGGGTTGTCTGACATGGGTCAGAGGCTGGTAGAGGACACAGAGAGAGTGGGTGAGGAAGGTGGTGGGAAGTTGAGCAGTTCCAGCACTGCCACACCCACACTGCTGCGCCGTGTGAACATGCAGGATGCTGCCACCCACTTGTTGGTCCTTGGGTTGTACTTCTCTATGGAGTTGAGGCTGGAGCTGCCATCATTGCCCCCAACAGCATAGAGCCAGCCGTCCATGGCCACCAGGTCATGTGTGCTCCTGGGGGTTGGGTATGCAAGAGTGAGCCCAAGGGGCAGGCCAAGAGAGAATCCAAAAGAGTGGGGCACAGAGGGAGGAACCACAGGGGCAGAACTAGGAGAGGCCCAGGTGTCCAGGAGAAACACTATCAAGGCGCTTTGTTCACAACTCTGGAGCTAGTCTCCTGGGGTAAACCAGCTATAGTGGCAGAACCACTCACCACCCACCCCTGGCCTTATAGACCTGCGGATGTTCATGGGTGCCACACTCTCCCAGGCACCAGCCTTGGTGCTATATCTCTCCACTGAGTTGAGGCAGCTTGTGCCATCGTTGCCCCCTGCCACATACAGGGCACCCTCCAGCACTGCTACACCTGCTGAGCTGCGCCGGCTCAGCATTGAGGCCACAGGTGTCCATGCATTCACCTGTGGAGACAAGCGTACAGGCTAGAAGTAGACCCAACAAGGGTATAACACCTTTGCTGTAATGCAGGCTCTACTCCTGGGTGGGGATCTGTAGGAGAGGGGTAGGATATAGAAGGCAGATCCCTTGGGGGGCACTGGTAGCCAGAAGATGGGATGACACCACCCCCACAGCACTTGAAAGGAAGTCATTGTGATAGGGGTGCATTATGCACCTGGGGCTCGTACTTCTCCACAGTGGCCAGGTGTGATGAGCTGTCGTAACCGCCCACAGCGTACAGGTTCCCATCTGTGGGAAGGCAACATACCCATGGTGCTTCTGCAGGGTGTGAGGGACTGGAGGGTAGGTGGGAAACGGGCAGGCATGAAAGCAGTCACCACAGGAAGCAGGTCCTGTCACCCACCCAGTGTGGCCACACGCACATATCTTCTCCGGGTGCTCATGGCAGCAATGGATGTCCATGTTCCCGTCAATGGGTCATATCGTTCAGCACTGTGGGCACCAGAACGATGCTGTTGTTTAACTAAAACAGTCAGGTGAACCTGCCCCAGGACCTGCTCACCCCAATGGTGTGGCTGAAATCCTGTGCTGGGCACCACAAACTCTATGAGTAGACAGCAAGGTCTGTTGGATAGGTATAGGTTCCTGGCTGCCTGGACTGGAGGGAGGGTCCCAGAGAGAAAGAGGGACAGAATAGAGCCTGGGCCCTACTGCTGTGGTGGCCTGAGGTAAAGAGGCCTTGGAAACCTTGGTGGTGACCAAGTGGCCTGGGTCAAGAAGGATCTGTGCATTTCCTTGGCTAGATGTAACTTCATGGTCAAGTCAGCCTCACCTGCTGCTGCTGAGCCAACCCTGCAAGGCCACTGGGGCCCTAACCCCAACTACTACCTGTTGAGGCAGGAAGCCCCATCATAGCCGCCGGCTGCATACAGAAGCCCATGCAGGGCAGCTACACCCAGGCAGCTTCGCCTTGTGCCCATGGACACCTCGGGCTGCCATGTGTTGGTCACAGGGTCATAGGACTCCACAGTAGCCAGGTCTGAGGTTCCATCGTAGCTAGGAGAAGAGTCCGCTACTGATCAAGGATGGCCTGGCAGGCATGTGATAACCCCCTGACCCAAGCCCAGCTTCTATGCTTACCCGCCCACAGCATACAGCCTGTTCCCAACAGCAGCGACTCCTACCCGGGCCCGACGTGTGGACATGGAGGCCACTACGTGCCAGCGGTCGGTTCGAGTGTCATATGCTTCACAGTCTCCATGGATGGCAAACAGGCTCCCACCACCTGATAGGTGGGTGAAAAGATAAGGGACCTAGGAAGGTGTGTGGCTAGTGGGGGGACAGCTCTAGTACAGCCTAAGGGCAAAGATACCAGGACTCCAGGAATTGGAAGAGATGAGGTTTGGGTCACAATGGTAGGCCCCATACCATAGGATCCCTGGGATACAGGTCATGTGTGTGGTAGTCTGGGTTTGTGTTCTGACTAGGGGTGGATGACCCAGGGCAAGGATGGGAAAGAGAAGCAAAGAGCCATACCAACAGCAAAGAGCACAGGGCCAGCACCCTCACAGCGACGGGGCCGGGTGCGGCTGGTACCCAGAACACCCCTTTGCTCAGGCAGCAGGTGGAACTTTAGGGCCTCAATGAGCAGGTCTTTGCAATCAGGATGATGCCTCACAAGGCTCTCAGCATCCACATGGCCTAGTAGGAAGTCTCGGCTCAGCAGAGGCAGCCGCACACACTTCATCAGCTAGGGTAGGAGGTGCAAAGGTAAGGCAAGATTCTAGGGCACATTTGCCCCAGGGCTGAGACAACCAGATGCCTACCCCACCTGTACAACGGGTTGAGACAGGTTCCTGTATTGCCCCTAAGGGGTCTCTGAATGGGAGATTAGGTAAGGACTCCATGAACACTCACACCTTGGCCACCTGCATTCTCTCTGGACACCATGGGAGTTCCAGGGCCTGGTCTCACCCTTGGGACATGCTGCCTCCGAGTGTCTACATCATGTTTGACCCAGCTCAGGACTGCACGGTAGACATCTTCCTCTGAAGGCACATTCAGGCTGTCGCTAGAGACCAATTCCAGCACCTGGGGGTAAGAGGTGCTCAGACCTGACATCTGGGGAGGGTCTTGTGGGCCCAGGAAGGCCTGGAGGTATCTGGGAATATTGGAAGGAGGGAGCACCCCTCCCCCAACAGTTCTTAGCGGAAGGGGCCACACAAAGTCAAAACCCACAAAATATGGTCCCAATGGTAGAGGGTGTCCTAGGCTTTGAGTAGTCTTGGGGACATGAAATCAGAGACTGAGGTTCATGTTCCTGGAGTGTGGTAAGGACAGGAATCTAAGGCAAAGGCTTGGGTAAAGTCAGACAATGGGGACACGGTTGGGGGATGGCCAGGGTATGGATCCTAAGGTAGAACTTGTATCAGGAACTGAGAATACAGATTTTGAGGCACTGGTTACTGGGGTCTGCACTGGGACAAGGAAAAGGTGTAGGCTGAGTCCCAACTGGCATGTTACCTGCTTCAGTGGTTACCTGCTTAAGTGGCAACAGCATGAACTCCTCAGTCTTGGCCACGTCCACGAAGTGCTGCAGCACATACCTGTGTGCTGCTTTGAGCAGGTCACTGCATGAGTGTGTGTCTGCAAATCCACGAATGCCCAGGCAGTTGGAAGGGTCAAGCTGGCTCAACAGGAACTTGCAGCAGGCATCTCGGACACCATTCAACTGTAGGAGGCTGGCAGCTGGAAGTAGAGTCTGGGACATGGAGATACATGAGACTCTAAGGGGGGGCCAGGAGAGCACAGAGCAATTGGAGAATGGGGAGAGGACTGGGGAGGCCAGGGCACAGGGACCTGGGCAGGAGGCTTTAGAGAGTATAGGTGTGGGGATGGGACTCCTCACCTGTACATTGCCCTCGCCCACCACAATCTCAGCTGTGTATGCAAACTGCACCAGCTGATCTAAGGCCTGAGGGTCAATGTCATGTAGCGTCACATGTGTCTGGCGGCTCTCACTCATCTCATCTGTGAGGACAGTGAGTCAGGCTGGTACCTACCCTGGGAAACCTGCATAGGGCCCCCAAGGGCTGCCCAGACTGTGGTATGTGGTACTTGCTTGTGAACATGGCGTGGAAATAGGGACTGCAGGAAGCCAACACTACTTTATGTGCGCGGATCTCCTTGGCAGCCACATGCAGGACGATGTCACACAGGAGGCCACGCTGCCGCATTCGGCTCATGGCCACGAAGGCATCATGGTAGTGCCTCTTGGAGTTGTGGGCCACACTATGGCCCTCTCGGCTCAGCAGCTGCATGGCACCTTCCATGGGGGCTGCAGGCCGGGTCTGTCTGGGTCGGGCACGCTCTGCTTCAGGGCTGCAGGCCGCAGGGCTAGGTCAGGGTTTACACTGTAGGGAGCCCCTCACCTACCCTTGAGAACTCTGGGCACAGTCTGGGCAGCTGCACTCTATCCCCAGCAGTCCAGTCATCAGGGGCCAGCAGCCCATTAAGGACCATCCTGTCACTCAGTGCCACTTTTCAGGGCTCAAGACCTCCCTCCTGTCAAGAAGCTTCACTGGAGCCAGACCAGACACTCCTCTCTAAACCTAAGCCTGTTCCCAATGGTGCCTATTCCTCTTCTGTCCATCATCCCTCCTCTGCTCTAAGCTCCTCTTCCAGTGCCGCCCCCGCCCACCAAGGCAGTTCCCAGGGGACAGGTGTCCTCAGCACTCACTGGGAGTGCAGGAGGAGCTGGAAAAAAGTTGGCCAGCGCTGTCCCTCTGGAGCGGACCCCTGCCTCCCACACACCAGGTTGACCTCACCCAGCCCTGCGAGCAGTCCCTTTGGTCCCATTCTGCAGACCGGTTCAAGTGCGGCCAGAGTAGCAAAGGGCTGAGACCGTGCCCCGCGGCCTGCGGGGCACAATCCCTCCCTCCGCCCCACTCACGCCGGCGGCTGCGGCGGCGGCGGCGGCGGCTGCGGCTGCGGCTGCGGCGGCGGCAGCGCCTCAGGAACGAGGCCCGGAGGGAGGCCCCGGGCTGCCGTGTTCCGGACTCTGCGTCCTGCCAGCTGGGCGCTCGCCGCGGGGCTGCATAACTTCAGCCGCCAAACCCGCGGCCAACCGGGGAATACAGAATGACTGACGCGGACCACAGGAGTACAGCTTCGCCGCAGCGGCCCCTCGGAGCACGCCCGCCGCCGCAGCCGCTGTTTCTCGGCGCCGCCCGCCCCGCCTCACGGGGTTCTAGGACCCGCCCCTCTCGTCCTCCCGATCCGCACCCTTCGCATCACTGGCAGATCGAGGTGTCAGCGTCGCGTTGCCAGCCTCCTTCTGCCTGGGAACCGCGCTCCCTCAACCTCCACACCTCCCTCGTCGTCTTCCAGGGAGCCCCTGGCCCGCGTCTAGTGCCTCGGCTAGCTTCGAGTTCTAGAACCCCAGCAGCCTGCTCCATCCTGTTGTGATTGACTAGCCCCACGTGGCTTTTATAGCACGGGCTTCGCCCCAGGTGCTAGCCCTCTTGTCCTGTTCTACGGCCTTCACTCCACAGGGATGTAGAAAGGCAACTTCCCTCCTGGTCCAGCGCTCCTACACGTAAATGCTTGGCTGTACCAACTCCCAGCTGCTGAATCTCTGCGCATTAGGTGGATAGGGGCTGCTGGGGACTGCAGGAGGCTGACAGGTGCTGCGGCATCTCGATGATGGACGCAGCACACTTTCTGGTTTCAATGAATCACAAGCAAACCAAGGCATCTGATGTCGTCCGATTTTTGATGAGCTGTCTGCGTCTGTGTTGCCATTTATATCTTTCTTTGCTTTTTTTTTTTCGGTTCTTGTTGTTGGTCTTTTTGAGACGGGGTCTCCCCATAGCCCCAGCTGTCCCGGAACTCACTATGTAGAGCAGGCTGGCCTCCAAATCAGAGAGATCCGCCTGTCTCTGTCTCCCGAGTGCTGGAATTAAAGGCATTAAAGGCACGCGCCACCAGGCCCCGCGAAGCCTATGCTTTTTAAGTTATTGATTTGTAAGCGCTCTTTGCATAGGAGGCCCCGCTATCAGCCTTTTGTCTATTGCCAATGAGCTGCATGACACAGATGAACTGCGGGAAGGACAGGTCGGACCTCGGGTTGTGTTCCCCAGGTAGCAACCGTTGTTACTGCTCCTTCTGGTGAAGAGCACAGAAGCTGTGCGCGGCAGTCAGCCTGCACTCGGTGCAGGAGCCTCGACCAAGAAGGCAAAAGCGCCCTCCCGCCTGGAGGCCGCCGGTATTGCAATCTAAGAACCCTTGAGCCACCAGCGAGGAGCGAGGGGCAGGGCAGGCGAGAGGAAGTGCGGCGGCGCGAGGCATTCTGGAGCCGGAAATGCGGTGCACGTTACTTTGAACGTCATGGCGGTGGCTCGCGCCCCTAGGAGGTGAGTGGAGTTGGAAGCGTTGCGGGAAAGCCCGCTCGCATTCGTCTCTCTGCGCTTCGGGATGAGGCTGGCCAGCTGGCAAGGTTGTGACTTGCTGTTACATGCAGGCGCCTGGCGGAGCTGACAGTGGACGAGTTTTTGGCTTCGGGCTTTGACTCCGAGTCGGAGCCGGAAGAGTCCCTGGAGGCTGTGGAGCGGGAGAGGACCCGGGGCGAAGCCCCCAGGAGTCTGGAGCACACCAGGACGCGCACCTTGCCTTGGTGAGGGTCTGTCCAGCGCACCAGCCGCGCACAGCGCTCGGCATCCAGTGATTCTTGGGCCCCACGCTGCTGTGCAGAACCCTGGGCCAGCCTTCTCCTCCCTGGCGGGCCGCCTAGATGTCCATTTTTGACAAAGAGAAGCCCTTGGTCCTTGGTAAACCAGTCTGCCACGTGCTGGCGGGGACATGCTGTGGGCGGAAGAGAATTACCGAGGCTGGAGGGCGTGGTTCGTAGATGCACTGAAGGCCTGGGGTGGGTGGGGGGACTTGGTTTAGATTGGCGACTTGAGTGGGAACTGCAAAAGCCCTAGAGTTCTACGGCTTTGAGGAATTGCAGAGGCGGGTGTGACTGGCCGAAGGGACTCTGGAAAGTAGCAGGCGATGAGCCCAGAGTGACTGACAATGAGGAGACTGGGTTCGAGAGAACATTTCTTGTAAGATCTCTTGGTAAAATGGGAAGCAGCCTCAATTGAACAGTGAAATAACATTAGATACCATACAAGAAAGGGCCCTTAGGATTGCTATGCCGGTCAGGATTGTGGGTGGGTGGTAAGGGTGGAAATTGAGAGTTTTGAGAGGAAGCATACCCGTAGATTTGGGGGTACTACTGGAGTGAGCATGGTGAGTGCACAGCAGGTCTGGAAGAGTCCTGATTGTATGTTGTGCTTGAGATGCTTGTGTTGAAACGGTATCAGAAGTTCTGAGTGTGAGTATGGGAGAGAGATGAGCCGATGACTTACCTCCTGGAACTCCTGCTTGGTCATTGGTAGTAGCTACTGTGAAGGGAACAGACTAACCTCATGACCTCACTGAGGAGATGAGCAGACTGGCTATGTGGAAGGACAGGAAGCCCTTCCCGGTGTTGGTTTTCCACTGGTCTTACAAAACAATTTCTCAGTCCTCATAAAGGGCGTGCTTCTGAGCATAAGGACCAGCTCTCTCGGCTAAGGGACAGAGACCCTGAGTTCTACAAGTTTCTGCAGGAGAATGATCAGAGCTTACTGGACTTCAGTGACTCAGACAGCTCTGAGGAAGGAGAAGAGCAGTTCCACTCCCTGCCAGACATGCTGGAGGTAAAACCTGGCAGACCTGGGTAGGGGGGCAACTGTGGCTTCTATATTATGTCCTACCTTGGTCCTTTTGTGTTTGGTGCAGGAAGCAAGTGAAGAGGAGGAGGAGAATGGAGGAGAGGACAGTAACTTAGCCCCCAGAGGATTGCAGAGGAAGAAGAATGAGCCTGTCCCTGTGACCCTTACTATGTTGGAGAAATGGAAGCAGGGGGCAAGGGTGAGAGGCAGTATAAGCTGGGTGACTGGACTCCCACAGGCAGGGGTTTCTTTCCTTCCTCAAATGTCTCTGAGCATTATACAATAACCATGTGTTTTTTTATCTGCCGGGATTCCCTGGTTGCATAGTCTCAGTGGCAATATATAGTTTTGCCAAATTCCTTCCTCTTAGTCTCTATTGGCTCTTCTATCACTGAAGTTGAGCCACTGTGGGTTGAGCATAGAGTTTGTTTCATTGCATTTTCTCTTGCTGTAGTGGAATACCAGAGATTGGGTATTTGTAAACCCAATTGGTAATTTGTAAACTTAATTGGCTCACAGTTCTGGAGGCTAGTAAATCTAAGAATATGATGGTGGCATTTGGTAAAGGCCTTGTGTGATACTTCTTCATATCTCTCTTTGGGGTGCTAGGTATTGAACCCAGGTTCTCATACATTCTAGGCAAGAGCTCTATCCTGAGCCCCATCTTTCTCTCATAAGGCCCTCGTAGGGTCCTGACCCTTATCATCTGATCTTGATTACTTCCCAAAAGGACATTTTCCAAATACCACCTTATGAATTCAGACATTATTTCTATCACATGAGCTTTTGAGGACACAGTCAAATCTTTAGCAACATTTGTTCATGGTGGGGGTGTGTGTGTGAAGTCCTTTTAGTGATTTCATATTTGGCTTTTAAGCTTTGGACTCACTATGTAGCCCTGGTGACTGGTCTTATACTCTATATAGAGGAATTTGGCCTCAAATTTGCAGCATTCTTTTTGCCTCTGTTTTTCTAGTGCTAGGATTGCAAGTATCAGCTGTCATGTTCACTCTCCCATTGATTTCTCAAAGGGAGAACTCCATATACTACCTGGAGCTGGCCTATGATCCAGGACTCTCAACTTTTCCTCTGGGGCTCTTGAAACACTCCCTCCCATCCAAAAGGGCTATAGGCACAGTTCCTTTTTGTTACAAACCCGTAGCCCAGTGATCTTACCTCCACCACTGCCCAGTCCCTGAGATTGTGTGTTAGGGACACCTTTCCCACCTTGAGTAGGTTCTTGGAATCAGGTACTGTGTGGCCTAATGCTCCCCTAGTGATTTTGGTTTCTTGCCCTTTTAGCAGCACCTCACTCCCAGGCTGTTCCATGAAGTTGTGCAGGCATTCCGAGCAGCTGTAGCCACCACCCAAGGAGACCAGGAAGTTGCTGAGGCTTGCAGGTTCCAGGTCTCAGATAGTGCAGGTGAGCTGGGGCTAGGGGACCCAGGTCAGACTCCATTGTGACACCTATATTCCTTACATAGGCAAATGACATCTATGTTCCCTACAGTGTTCAACGCTCTGGTCACCTTCTGCATTAGAGACCTCTTTGGTTGTCTTCAGAAGCTGCTGTTTGGAAAGGCTCTGAAGAATAGCAGCAAGTAAGGGGATGGGCTTGTAGGCAGGAACCTTGTCACTGATGGGGTAGAAAAGGTCACAGGTCTTGAGGAAGCGCAACAGAAAAGCTGGTATAGGGAGGGTCATAGCGGGGCTGAGAGTGCACATACCCATGTGTCTTGAGGTAGTAAGTACCTATAGAGTCAAACTAAGCACCATTAGGAATCAGACTCCAGGGAGGGCCCTGCTATCAGCACTCAAAGGGGATAGCACTTGTCTTGTACATTAGTAGGGTGTGTCCATTTGAAGACAGCACAGAAAGAAGGGGCTAGGGAAGTCAACAGGTGGGGAGGGTGGAGGATAATCCAGAATATGAGTCAACATTAGCCCAAGTGGGCTGGCAGTAGCTAATGCCGCCAGACCCTGGGGAGCAGTTGTCATGAAGGGGCAGATGGGATTTTGGAAGCAGGATTGCATCCTGAGTCAAGTGAGTTGCTTCAGGTGTCACACAGATGGTGTTGGTCTAGGTATCAGGAAAATTGGACAATGGGATTACTTTAGGGAGCCCTGCTTTTGGTCCTTGGTGTAGTTCAGTAGATTTTGGTGAAAATCTATTACTAAGTACTTGAACACTGAAGAGTAAACTATGTAAAACCCACAGGGGTTTTATAAAGCTGTTGCTAGATGTCCAGCCATTTAGCAGTTACGAGTCTGGAATTTTAGTTGCAACTGAGTATATAAGCATATTCTTTATGATGCATGACACATATAGGTCACAGACACACAGTGTGCAACACCAAAGGGTGCCTGGTTAGGCCCCAAAGGCCTTGAGTGATGGCTATAGAGTTTGGGTGCCGGTAAATTGGGAAATGGGGCCATAGGGACCCAGAAGAGGGACATAGGGAGGCAGCTGAGACAGGAGTCCTGAGGAAGATAGCTTAGGATTTTAGAGGACAGTTGCTCTGAACTGTGCCCAAGCATGTGGCCTGTGGGAGGGGCGGGTGCTGCTTTGTTACAGGTGTCACTCTGGGCTATACTCAAGAAGGTCCTGGTAAGTCCCTGCATCTGCTGGTTGTAAGGAGCTCCTCAGCTTTTTGTGTATGGGGCTAAGTTATGTGCCCTTGTGTTGTAGACTCTATGCTTGGGCAGCCTTGTGTCTGAATTACAAGATGGGGTGGGTGTGGTCCCTGCAGGATGCTGCTGCCGTCCAGTAGCCCACTCTGGGGGAAGCTCCGTGTGGATGTCAAGGCATACCTAAGTGCGGTCATACAGGTACTATTCTGGTGGGGGAAGAATCCAGGAGGCCTGGCCATGTCCAGTGGTCAAGTGATTTTTTTTTTTTTTTTTTTTTAAATATCTGAGACTTAAGTGAATTTGGACCTCACTGTCCTTTTTTGCTTCTTCAGCTGGTAGCCTGTCTGGCTGAAACCACAGTGTGTGTGGCCGTCCTACAGCATGTCAGCAGCTTGGTGCCTTACTTCCTGACCTTCCCCAAGCAGTGCCGTATGCTGCTTAAGGTGTGTTGGCCCATCCTGCTGTATTGGTATGGCTAGGGATGTCTCCCTTACTTGTTCTACTTCTGGCTAGGTAGAGGCAACATCTATGCCCACACTTACTGCTGCTGGCTCCTCTACATCCCTTCCTAGGGTCCCAGTATTAGGTTGCCCTCTGTCCTCTCAGCTGTGAGAATAGGTTCCACTGAGGCATGTTAGCAGTGGATGGTCTCTGGCTGGGGCAGGCAGTGATGGCTCTCTTTTTCAGAGGATGGTGATTCTGTGGAGCACAGGTGAGGAGTCCCTACGGGTCTTGGCCTTCCTGGTACTCATTAGAGTCTGCAGGCACAAGAAGGATACCTTCCTCAGTCCCATACTAAAGGTATTATGGGCCATGCATCTGTCTATCAAGTCTCTGTTGGGAATCAGTCCGATTGCCTGGTTGATGGTCCTTGTTGGGTTCTGACACCAAACTCTGGGTACATGGACCCATAGATCACAGTTTTCTTACCAAGAAGTTGGTGTGGTGATGAGGACAGGAGTCCTTGGCCTTCTGAACTCCACTTGGATGCTGATACACACCACTCCTGAGGGAGATGGGGGGAGGGTGGGGAGGCTGTCTTCTCTAGGGATGATACTGGAAAATAGAAACAGATCTGAGGCTACAAGGATCAGACCCTTCTGTCCAGTGGCAAGTCTGGGGTAGTCTCCTGGCATGTGGAGATCCTCCATTTCTGCTTGTGCAGACCTAGCGTGGAGCAGAGCATTTCCTTTACCTGTCTCCCAGGCCTTCAATCCTATACTTGTCCATCCATAGCTCACCCCTCCCTTCTCTATAAGACTCGTCTATGTACCTTAGATTTTGTGCCTGAGGCTGGTGGGTACAACTATAAAAGTTGAGCAACATCAGGGTCCTGGGGAGTAGGGGTGGATGGAAGTGGAGTGGGCTGGGAACCGTAGAGGGAATGAGTCTGCTGCTGAGTGGCCAGGCTATACTTTTGCTTGGGACAGCAGCTCTGATGGAAAAACCCAGGTATTGGCAGATGGCTTGGAACTGAGCAGTGGTTACTCAGGTAGCTCTTAACTGGTGTCTCTCTGTCAGCAAATGTACATCATGTACGTGAGAAACTGCAAGTTCACTTCTCCTAGTACCCTGCCCCTCATAAGCTTCATGCAGCGAACACTGACTGAGCTGCTTGCCTTGGACTCCAGTGTCTCCTATCAGCATGCCTTCCTCTACATCCGCCAGCTTGCCATCCACCTGCGTAATGCCATGACCACGGGCAAGAAGGTATGCTATCAGGCCCCTCCAAGCCAGGAGCCTGGCAGAGGGCTTGGGATAGTTTGGAAGTTCTAGTCTATTGGGGGAGCCACCTCAGCATTTTGGGGGGAGACTGGGTGATTCTGACATGGAGGGACTGACTCTTAGAGGTGGACTCTACTCTTGACCAGGAAACATACCAGTCTGTGTACAACTGGCAGTATGTACACTGCCTCTACTTATGGTGCCGAGTCCTGAGTGCCCTTGGTTCCAGTGAGGTCCTACAGCCCCTACTCTACCCTCTCTCACAGGTTATCATCGGCTGCATCAAGTGAGTTTTAAGGGTAGGGCTTCATCAGGTTTTTCTGGGGCGGTGGGGGCACCAAATTCATCAAGATGTTCTGGGCAATGTTCTTGGTCAGGGGTTTCTAGGGCAGGGGTTTCTAACCTTTTGGCTTATTTGAGCCATATTGAAGAATTGTCATTTAGGGTTTGTCTGGGTCTTGGTGGGCCTGGGAAGATGAGCTTGGTGGGCCTGGGCTTGTAGGAATCAGCCTCCACTTAGGCAAGCAGGTTAGCCTCCCAGGATGCAACACCCATGTGTTCTAAGGCTTAGGTGGGCACAGCTGGAAGGGCATTCAGATCCAGTGGCCCAGGGTTCTTGGAGCTTTTGGTATGCCATGAATGTGCTGTGTACCTTTCTGACCAGGAGGGGGCAACTGTGTCCTCTTGAGACTAGGCTGGGAAGGAAAGCAGAAGGTTCAAGGAAAGAATCCCCCAAAGCAGGGAATGGCTAAGAAAGGGAGTCAAGAATGAGTAGCTGCATGTTAAAATGAAATTGAGTTAAAAGCTAGTTGGGTGTCTTTTGGTCCAACAGCTGAGCAATGAGGCAGGACCCAAGCCCAGGCTTTTGTTGTACCCTGTTGTGTTTGAGGAATATGATTCTTCTGCATGGGTGTTGTGAGTGCGTACCTTGCAGGAGTGACACGGACCCTCCTGTAGTAGCTTGTGAATGGGGAAAACTCAGGGGCAGTGGTCAGTTAAGGCTGGTGCTTGTGGCTGGCTGCCTGACCAGGCTCTGCTCCTTCTTGTTCCAGACTGTTGCCCACTGCCCGCTTCTATCCATTGCGTATGCATTGCATACGTGCCCTGACATTGCTGTCCCAGACAACTGGCACCTTCATTCCTGTTCTGCCCTTCATTCTCGAGGTGACTATGTTGTGTACAACTTGGGTGGGGACTTAGAAACATCTTTTGGAAACCACATCTTCTCCCCTGTGGCACCAGTGGTGACTTTTGACTATAGCCCTGTGGCCCCTCTTGTCTTGGCAATCTGTTGAGGAGCTCTTGAATTTGGTCTACCCAAGTCTCTCACTTTCTGTAACATCTTTTTCTTCTCACTGAATAGTCCTCATTCTGACCTCTGCTTTGGCTCATTGCAGCTGGCCCTTTGATCCCTCACACCTGGTACAGGTTTCCTGAGAAATCAAACCACAGGGGCTAAAACCAAGATCTCTACCTACAGGGTGTCCCTCTCCTTCCTTTAACTTATGAGCAGAAGGGAGTATTGAGAGCAGCCCTACATGCCAGTTAGCACCATTTGTTAGAACTAGAGAAAGAGCATATCCCCTCCCCTTCCCCCTCCACTTATCATTAATTGCTGTAGTTGGCTCTGCTACCAGCACCATGCTGCTGCGTGGGGTCTTTTGCCAAGGGGCTTCCCTTATAGAACCTTCCCTTTCTATTCATCTGCATGAACCTGGTACCTCCTTGGTTCACCTGCCCTGGTATATGGGGTCTCCTAGTGGTTGGGGAGTTATCACTGCACCAAGAGGCCAGGCTAGGCTCCTACTCCCCTCCTTTCTTGGAAAGGTCAAGGTTCAAGAACTGGGGGTGTATAAAGTAACAGCCCTTCTCCCGAGACCTGTCTCTCTCTGCTCTGTATTTTTTTGTTGCTGGTTGTACCCACAGTGCCTGGGATGTAGATGTGCTAGGCTCAGGCCTGTATTCTGCATGGTCTTCAAAGGAGGTTTGGCGCGGGGTGGGGGGGGCTTTTTACTATTTTATTTATTATTTTTATTTTATGTGTATGAGTGTTATGCCTGCATATGCGTAAGGGCATTTGTATCATGAAATGCCCATGGAGGTCAGAAGAGGATGTCGGATTCCCTAGAACTGGAGTTACAGATGATTGTTAGCTGCTGTGTGGGTGCTGGGATTCAAACCTGGGTCCTCTGCAAGAGCAGTCAGTGCTCTTAACCACTGAGCCATCTCTCCAGCCCCAAGTGGGGGGCTTTGTACACAGGGGTCCTAATGGCTTCCTGTCAATGGGCTCAGGGTTCTGGAAGGTGGACAAGATCTGGAGGCATCTAGGGGCTTTGGGGCTGTGTTTGGTTGTACACACTGGTCTTGAGTGATCTCTTAGGGCTGGACTGACATCCTGGGGGCAGGTTTTCCAACAGGTGGACTTCAGTAGGCGGCCAGGCCGCATGAGCGCCAGGCCCATCAACTTCTCTGTGATCTTGAAGCTGTCCAATGCCAACCTACAAGAGAAGGCATACCGGGTAAGGCTGGCCTCAAACTCATGGGAAATGCCCAGGACTATGTTTTAGCTGGTTCATATCAGGACTTCAGAGACAACTGAAGTAGACAGGAGGGATTGCTATTTGTGTAGCATTCTTGGTTTCTTTGGTAATAGTCCAGGGCCTTCTTAGTCCTATCCCCTGCAAAATTGGATATGGCTTCTGGGGAAGCTATAAGCACTTCCTTGTAGTCCTTACCTGGGAGATTGAACAGAATTAGAATCATTAGGCTGAGATACAAAACCCTGAGCTCTCTCTTCTGATGAGCTTGATCCTGCCACCTTAGGATGGTCTGCTGGAGCAGCTGTATGACCTTATTCTGGAGTATCTGCACAGCCAGGCTCATAGCATCGCCTTCCCAGAGCTAGTGTTGCCCACTGTCTTACAGGTATGTGCTCAATATTTGGCTCCCTTCCCCTGGCTAGGCCCCTTGGCATCTGCTTTGTGGCTAATTTGGACTATCTTTTAGTAGGTTTGGCTTCCCCTTGTACATAAGGGTGAAAGTTAAGCTTCCTTGTTTAGCCACACAGGGCAAAGCCAATAGCTTCATGCTCTTTGTGGTCAGCCTAGGGGGAAGATGTTTATTTGGCTTGGTAGCCCAAGGGGCTTCTTTCTGTGGGCTGTAGAGTTGACTTGTGGTGAGGGATTATTAGCCACTCACAAGGTTGGAGCAGGCCTGAGTGACTTAACCAGGATTTCAGGAACTTGCTGGCCTTTCCAAAGGCTAGCTGGAGGCGCCCACCCCCACCCCCCATGGCCAGGGCCATCTGTGGAAGTCTCAAGCCTGGGTTGGTCTAGTCCTTATTCTGCTTTCCCAGATGGTCCTGGGAGTTAAAGTGTGGTTCTCCTTCTCAGAAGCTCCTTTTGTGCCCCTCATGAGAGTCTTGTTTGCTGTTATGTATAAGGCAGCAGTTACATATACAGCTGTGCACACATGCTTAGTCACTGTTGGTCACATGACATGCAGCAGTGGCCTTCTCTTTCTGTGTCCTCTTGGCTAGTGATACCAGGTAATCAGGACACCTTTACTTTTGGGCTCAAGGTTTTGGGGATATGGATTTGTGTGTGTGTGTTGGGGGTGGGGGTGTCTAGAGCATGGAATCAGAAGATTTTTTTTTTTCCAGTAAAGATCCAAATGTCAGGTGCTTGAGGATTTGTGGGATGCATGGTTTCTCATAGCTAGTTCTTCAGCTGCTTACTCTGGCTGTCTGCAACAACAGCCACAGAAGTACATGAGTAAAGGAGCCAGGCCTTGTGCCAGTGAGATGAGATTTAATTTACAGAAAATGGTAATAGACCCTTGTGCCCCCCCCCCCAATTACCATATGGTTTTGTTTTGCCTGGACTCCCTGTGTGGTGGGGTGTAGTCCGGTCACTAGAGCTATACTAAGCCCCTCTTTTTTTTTTAAACCCCTCTTTTCTGCAGCTGAAATCCTTTCTCCGGGAGTGCAAGGTTGCTAACTACTGCCGACAGGTGCGCCAGCTGCTGGAGAAGGTGCAGGAGAACGCAGAGCATATCCGCAGCCTTCGCCAGAGAGTCTCCTTTAGTGTTTCTGATGAGCTGGCAGTGGTTTGTTGGAACCTGGCATCTGGGCCTTGGGATGGTGCTTCCTGAAGGCACCAGTTGGGGTGTGATAAATGTTTGGGGGATTTCCAGGGTGAGCATGGCTCTGAACTGTCCTAATCCTCAGGATGCTTGGGAGAAGCAAGCCCGGGATGAAGGAACCCCACTCATCAGGTACTACAGCCACTGGAGGAAGCTGAGAGACCGTGAGATCCAATTGGAGATCAGTGGCAAAGAGCGGGTATGGCTGGGATCTAGGACGATGGCCTAGCAGAATGTGGCCAAGCAGGTTACTTGTGAAGGGGGTTGAGCTGAAGGAGGACACAGTTTGGGTGAAGCCTGGAAGCTACTGTCAACCCCCAGGACATTTGTTTTAGTCACCTGACCATATATGGCTTAAGGCTGGGCTAGTCTAGGCTCTACTCAGCTGTCTTGACCTATGCTTACCTGCTTGCTGTTCTTCTGGTCCTTGAAGCTAGAAGACCTAAACTTCCCAGAGATCAAAAGGCGGAAAATGGAAGACAGAAAGGATGAAGACAGGAAGGAATTTAAAGACCTGTTTGAGTTGGACAGTGATGAAGAAGAGGACAGTACAGATGTCTCAGAGAAAGGTAGGGCCTGGGCTGCCTCAGCAGTGCTCCTGGGATGGGTGAGTATTTGGTTCAGAGCCCAGGGTTGGGGGTTCCGTGTCTGGCTGGAGAGCAGACCTGTTTCGTGTACCATTCTTACTGGCTCCTTCCTGTTTGAGCTGGGGTATAGGGCTGGTCAACCCTGCTGGGCCAGGTGTATGTGTGTACATGCATGTGGTTCTTGGTCTGTAGGGGTACCTAGGCTCCTGAGAGCTCAGCAGGGAGTGAAAGAAGAGGAGGAGGAGGAAGAGGATGAGAATGAGGGTACCAGTGATTCAGAGGGTGAGTGGTTCCTGTTGTGAAATAGACTGGCCCTGGAATTCATCTGTTGAGGCCATGTGAAGGTGGCTCTGACTCAGGCTTGTGCCCCTCCCTGGGGTGCTAGGCCAGCTGTTCTCTTCTTGTGCATGGACTCTGACAGCCAGCTATAGCACACTGATAAATTAATTAGTACTGTGATTAATTAGTGATGAGTAACTTCTAAGGCTGGCTTCTTTATGATACAGCAGCATTTATGTAGTTTCTTCTCTTCCTACAGATGGAAGCACAGGCACAGGGATGGGGCTGGACCCTGGTGAACTGTGGCAACTGGCCCAGGGACCACAGGATGAGCTGGAGGATCTGCAGCTCTCTGAGGAGGACTGAGGGCTTCCTGCTGGGTCCTGGAAGCCTTGAGGCCAACATCTGTGTAGCAAGAGGGCAGTAGACAGTGGACAGGGCTTTATTGTTACTGCACAACAGACCAAGTGTACCCAGAACTGTCTGACCTGGGAAGGGAACTGACTCTGTAGAGCCTACTGTTGACCCAGCAGGAGGCTGACCCTGACCTGCTGAGCAGTCCTGGTTTAGAGGAGAGCAGCTTCATGGCCTCTCCACCTCCTTTGTCTTTGGTTAACCCTAGTTCTTTGTAAACTCATTCCTTTCCTTGTAAGTCACGCATTTTTCTTTTTTAAAAATATTCTTGGTGTTTTTGCATCTAAAACCAAAGGGGGGAAAAAAACCTGGGGATATGGGCAGTCTTATGAGTAACAGGGAGTATGGTAGTTGCCTGCTAGTTCAGCAGAGTCTGGGAGGGATCTGCGGCCTCTGGGAGCAAAGTGAAGGGGCCTGTCCCATTCTCCTGCTTGGGTGAGACTTGGCCTGTAGTTGGGTGGGCCTTCCCATAGCAGGAGGTGGTGGTTGCTGGGGACAGGGGTTGCTGTCCTGTGCTGAGCTCAGGGGTCCGCAGGCTTGGTGGCTGCAACGGCAGGGCCACAGGAAAGCTGGCCATGTAGAAGACGTGGCCTAGGCGCTTGGCCACCTACAAAGAGATCAAGCTGGGTGAACACCTGCCCAGATAAAGGAGCCTGGGAAGACCATCCCAGGCACAGAGAGCCCTTATGTCCTCCCTAGATTGGTGGGAACACTGGTTATACTCACTTGTGCCCTGATCTTGAGGGCAGGTCCCAGCTTCAGCCCCATGGTGTTCAGCAAGTGCTCCTCTGTCAGCAGAGGCAAAGTCTCTCCATCTATTCCTTGTTCTCGGAATACCTGGGAGCAAGGTGGGCCCATAGAATAGAGTTGTGTGTTTTGCAGGGGGAAAAAAAAAAAAAAATCTACCAAAGGAAAATCCCTTTATGTTGGGTGTGGAGACTGAGATGTTGCCCAGGACTGGCCTTCCCAGACTAGCCCCAGGGACCTGGAGTTCCCCTCACCCTGGCATACTCGCCACAGCCAGACAGGCCCCCTATGAAGCTGCAGACATCATCCACTGTCCACTTGCTGACCTCCTCAGGGGCTGTGTTCTCCCCATCATTGGTGAGTCCCCCCATGGTGCCTAAGGATGTGAAAGATGTCACTACTGCTTAGGCGCTTTACCACACTGTCCCCCCTCCCCAATGTGCTGACTTTGCTCTTAAAAGCTTAAAGCCCTTGGATCAATGACTAAAGGATTTTACTCTCCATCATCTCCCCTACCCCCATTGTTGGTTGGCTAGACTGGGTCTCCAAACCTACTTCAAGAGACTGTCTGTGGTGCCCACCTGTGTGGAAGTAGGGGCTGACATAGGGGAAGCCCAGAGGCAGTGGAGGGGTCAGTGTGGACCCGGGGAGAAGCCCCTTTCCTTCTGTTCTGGTCTCTCTTGCAGGGATTTGGCTACGAGTAGAGGCCCTGCCTCCAGCAGCTGCTAACTCAGGGTCCTCTCCATCTGAATCTTTGGAGGGCTCCTCCTCAGAGCCATCTTGAGCCCAGAGGCCAGCCCCTGCCTTCGGTGGTGGGTCGTTGGGCTGTGCTGAAGCAGAACCAAGGCTCCCTGTCTGGGGTGCACTGCGGGTGGGTTCCTGGGGCAGGGTGGGGGGCCCGGGGCCTGGGGGGCCCTGGGTAGGCAGGGCCAGCAGTGATGCAGTGCTGTGTTTCAAAACTAGCAAGGGCCCACGACGCTGCAGCTCATCGCTGCCTTCGGGGGCACGCAAGGCCACCTCTGGCGCCAGTAGCTGCGGGCGGCGAGTGTTGTCCAGCTCTTTCTGCCGAAGCAGCTCTGCAGACATCTCCAGCCTAGACCAGGAGGGCAGACAGTAGGGTCAGCTGTAGTGCGTGTGCCACTACTCCCGACAGCCCCCAAGGCGCTTACCGAGCCAGGCTCTGCTTCCGAAAAACCTCCTGCTGCCGAGCAAACATCTCAGTCTGAGTCGGGGCCAGGTAGCTGTAACCTGAGGGGAAAGGGACAGGGCCCCTCTGCACTACCTCTTTCTTCACCAAAAGGGGCATCTATGGGGACAGCCTTGGCAATGCTCCCAGCACATCAAGGGTCTACGCACTGGCTTACTACTCACCTGGAGTCTGACATAGGGCTGAGGGCACGCCCAAATAGGGAGGCCTGAGATGGGAGCCCAGGGCGATGTGGGGGGCATTCTGCGGCGACAGCAAAGGGGGCGGCTGCGACAACTCCCTGTGGACAAAATAATGAACACATGCCCAGTTCTCTTCACGCTCCCCTCTTTCCCATAACCGCCTCTGTGTACACCCCCTGCAGTCGCCGCTAATTGTCGACCCCGCAGGCGGTCGATGAGTTCCTGTTATGGCTTCGGGTCGTGCAGTGCCCGGGTCCCGGCCCGGCGGCGCCAATTAATCTTCCCGGCGGCGCGGAGGCGCTGACCCTGCAGGCCCGCGGCGGCTGCAGCGGCAATTACTGCGGGGTGTGCTGCCCGGCCTCATCCAGAGCCATCCCACGTGGAGGGGCGGGGGGTGCGGGGGTGCGTAATTAGCCACAATCCGGAGGCGGCGGCAGCTGCAGATGCCTGGCGGGTGTGGGGTGGTGTGTTAGGGGCCGTCCAGCCTAGACACCTGCCCAGCGCCCGCCCGCTGCATAGATAGTCTGTGCTGCGAACAGCTCGGGTGTCTGGACTGGAGTCACAGCCCAGGCCCTCTTTGCTCTCCAACTCCGAGTGCTCTGGACCACCCACTTCGGGTGGAACTTCCAGACCATGTGCAGTTTCCTCTCCACCTTGGGATCCCTCACACACAGTTACCTCCACCACCTGTGAAGGGAGCAAAGCCCGCAGCTGTTTGAGGGCACTTCTAGACGGGTCCCCTGTTGCTCAAGAAGGAAACTGGAATGGCCCTTGGCATTCCTGCCAGGGGTTGGTGGGCAACCCTGTAAGCTCTGTCCCAGAAATGTTTTCCTGGGCTTTTGCTTAGTACAGGGGTGTCAGGAGACTCCTGTTAGCTCACCCAGAGCAGCGTGCTTAGCATTATCCAGGCGTGCAGTACTTACAGGTCTGTGATGGGGAAAGTCAGGGGAAGGTCCAAGATGTGGGCTTGGCCTGCCTCTCAGGCAACAAGTACTGAGAATATGGGGTACCTTGCTGAAACACCACTACCTCAGTACCTTTCTGAGAAGGATGGGGTAGCAGCCAGAAGTGTGCTCTCCCGGTGCTGAACTAGGCCTTGCTTCCTTTGATGACCTGATGTGGATGAGGGAAGTTGGACTTGCAAGCCAGCAGGGCTCCTCAAAGTTGCAGCTGCTACTTCCTGCTGGACCCTTAGGAGATCTGGGGAGGGGGACAACAGCGGTGATCTAGAGGCTGAGCTCCCTATCCTGGTGAGCTCAAGAACAGGGTGAAGGGAGACTTTCACATGTCCAGAGCCCTGCTCTTGGTCACTGGGGCTAGAGGAGGATTGGTCATAGGGCATGGGAGACAGGCTGCAACAGGACATGAAGGATGCTGCAGGGCAAGTGAACTTGGAAAGGAATATGAGGTCAGTAACCAAAATGAGCTGGGAGGGAAATTGGTTGTATTTTGAATGATAGTGCTAATGTGATAGAAGCTAGAACCTTCACAAAGATGGGCTGTGCAAAGGTCAGAGTATATGGATAGGTACAGAGCTGCTGCTGGAGGTCAGTGGGACAAGAGACCACAAGTTGGGAGGGGACTGCAAACTGAGGGCTGCCCATCTAGTTGGGCGGCAAGAAAATTTGAGATTGATACCTAGGAAGAACTTGTCACTCCCACAAACAATACAATGCACACATGGCCATGAGAGAAGATGCCATCACCTAGCAGTGACACATGGTCACAGTCCAGCATGGTCACATTAGGACCTATTCTGAGACTATGTACCCCTCATTGCACCTGGGTGCAGGCCTCATAGTTTCCTCAAGCTCCTCTAGCTCAAGCTCTACTTCTCTGCCACTCTACGTAGTGCTGCCTGTTTATAAATTAATTACCTGAAAAGTGGAGGTGGGTCTGCCCAGGGCCCAGAGCCAGCCTGCAGCTGGCTGCCCAACTGTATAGATTCCAGCAAGACCTGCACTCTTGCTCTCTCAGGCATGCTCTGTGCAGCGGTGATTGACAACCTGCTCTGCTGTGCATCCCTCACCCTCCCAACCCTACTCCTCAAACAGGCTAGCATAACTGGCCCCAGGCAGGGCAGGGAAAGCAATTAAAAAGGAAGATTTTTAAATTATTAACATTTGGTGAATTATTCAGGCTCTTGGTGCCTGAGCTGCCCTGGGGGACAGTGCCTTCTCCAAGGAGGGGAAATCCTGCCCCCTTACCTGAGTTCCCAGCCACTTCTGCTAGAAAAGGCAAGATTCCCCAGCTCAGCAGCTGGACAGGGTATCTGACTATGCTTAGGTGGTAAGGGTAGTGCCTTAGGATGGTCTTCTCTTAAGCAACCTGAGACTCTGGTGACCATAATCACCTGCAACCTAATGCTGCCTTTCTGTGCTGCTTGCTACAACCACTCCAATCCTTTGTGGGGATCTGACAGAATCACAACATGTGCACAGATTTATGTTACTGCACTGACTGCTCTAGGAGTGAGGACCTGGTATAGGTCACAGAGCCAACATCTCCTGGATGGAGGGCAGGCGGGCAAGCCCCTATCTCCTACCTTCACTTGACTTCTCCCCTCCCATCCAGGGATAAGTAGTCGAGGACTGAAAACAAAACCTTGATGAGGCATCTAGGCCTCACTGCTATCCAAAAAGGTTGGGGGGGCCCTCTAATATATCTAATACCGGTCTTGGTATTGGCCTCTGAACACACAAGTCTACTTCTGGGAGTAGGCCTAGTACATAGGAGGCGGTAACAGAGGGTACATCGAAGGTGGGAATAACTAAGGGGCACATACCATGGCTGGGGATACCAAGGTGGTGGAAATGTTGACTTTCCTCAAAGGGACTAGCCTCACTCAGGGCTGACATGAGCCGGCGGTAGTGGTCCTCAGGAGCCATGGTAGACCCCAGTCCTGGAAGCAGCAGAGTCTCTGTGTTGGGAAGAACACATGGTGAGGACTTCTTTTTCAGACAGTACCAAGGGAAAAGGAAAAGCCCCCTCTCCTTAGGGTCCCCATCCAAGGTCTGAGGGCCCCTTCAGGACTCAGGGACTGAGTTGCTCCTTTTTCCACTGATCTGCGTCCCATTCCTGGGTCAGGCTCCCACCTTGTGGGGACTCACTTCGGGCCTTCTTCTCTGAAGAGCAGTCATTGGCGATGTAGGAGGAACAGCCCAGCCTCTTGCCCAACAGGTCACCTGTAGAGGATGCAGTGAGTCCCACCCAGTGCATCAGGGCTTGGAAGAGAGGGACGCAGGGAAGGCCATCTCTCCTAACCCTAACCCTAACCCTTAGCTCAGCTTGGAACACCAGTCACCGCCATGCTTTTCCTGGCAGTCAAGACCTTGCCTAGCTTAGGGACTCAGGCCAAAGGACATCATGACAGGTAGAAGTGAAGCAGAGCAAGGACACAAGGCAGCCCTGGGCATGTGACAGAAGTAATGGGAAATTCACATCTGTATCCCCAGAGGTACTTGCTACCCCCACCAGGCAGTCTGTTTTCTCTTGCAAGTCCATGTGCTTACCTAGCCCCTTCTGGGGAACTGAGTGGCCCATCTTTGCCTCCTGGGATAGAATTGGTCACTGTGCAAGTGTGGGAGAGGCAGGTCCAGAAGATACACCTCACATTCCAACCTATTTCATTCTGGGTCTTCCAGGTCCTGACATCAGAGGCTCAGTTTCTCCCCAAGTAACCTCTTCTCTGCTGCACTTGTGACACAGAAAGGAAGGCCTTGCCTTTCTCCTTGGCAGTATCTGCCCATCTGTGCAGCCAGGCTCCGGGCTCTTGAGGGCACTCCTGAGCAGCTTATCCTACAGTGCACAGCCTATATGTACTATGCTAGCATCTGGCTTGCTCAGCCCCTGCCCCTGCTTCCCAGGGTTCCCTGTAGGACCCACAGATCATACTCTCACATGCTAAACTTCAGGCATTAGTTGGCCTAATTCCAGACCAGCCTGAGTACCCTCCTGGGTGCTTGCCCAGCTTCGTCCTGGGCCCCTAACCAGAAGCTAGGGTCTTTGCTGAATAGCCCTGTGCCATTGTGGCTTCAGGCTAGAAACTGTTGCTTCTGCCTTCCTCATCCTCCAGTTGAGGGGTGGTAGTGTGGAGGAGCTTACTCCTGGATGATCTAAACTCTCCATGATGCCCCAGCAAGTGGTGCTTCCATATCTGTGCCCATCCTCCCCCAAAGTCCTGCCACACTAGAGCTGAATTCCTTTTCCTTAGTCCCTAATCTGTCATTTTTATCAGGCTGGGGAAGTGCGGCAGCAAGAATGCCGATCAATCTCCACATTACAGCTGACAGAATGGTGCTAATAACTTATTGATCTCAGCCACCTCACTGCCACTGGTCTAGCTGGCCAGCTCAGCCTCTGCCCCAAGGAGAGGGATAGTACCCACTGTCTGGACAATGGTTCTTCTCAGTAACGGATCAGGGCAAATGGACCCAGCAGACAGATGAAGGGCATCTGACTGCAGTTGGGGTCACTAATAGCATATCAGAGACCAGTGGGCAAGAGAGGCAGCAGCTGAGCTAGGCAGGGAGGAGGGTCTCTCAGGACTGTGTGGCCTGGTCTCACTCCATACCTTCTCACACAACCCCTTTAGGGCAAGGCAAGGGCTCTTTTCACAGCAGTGTGCCTTCACTATAACAGTGGCCACTCTCCACCCCACCTGTGTGCGTGTGCGTGTGCGTGTGTGTATTATGTCTTTCTATTATTGTGTGTTATATCTTTCTATTATTGCAGTTTGGGTAACAGCCTGGAAGAGGTGATCATAGGGTAGTGTTACCTCACATAAGACCCAGTCCTATCTGATTCATGTGGCCACACTCACTCACTCCTGGATACATGAAGGTGCTGGCAATAGGAGGCAAACAGTATACCCAGAGGCAGACCACAAAGTCACAAAACCTGCTCCGAGCCCCATAGTTCTCTCAGGTCCAGAGAGTGGTGACACAGTTGGAGTGACCCCCTATAAGAACTGAGAGAAAGCCCACAGGGAAGAGGGATAAGACACTAAGGGAATGCATATGTGAAACCTGAACACAGTACACGCTCCCACTGTTGTGCACAGTATGAACCCTTGCATGCAGTGCAAAGAGAAGAGTGGCCAGTCAGGTGACCAGGCACCACAGAGGGACACATATTTATGTGTAGTACACAGATATTTTGACAAGCAGCATGATGGCCCTGGCTCGGAGGAAGTGCACACAGCCTGTGTATTAGTAAGCATACCTGAGCACACATATACACATATACTTGTGTACTTAAGGAGATCTCCATGTGCAGGGGCAGGGGAGGGCCTGTGGGCTCAGAACATCTCAATCATTGCAGGACTCCCTTGGTTCCACCCAATCGATAGGGCAATTAGATTTTATCAGCTGCTTATTCAGCCGCCTCCACCAGGCTGGGCCTCCACCAGTCCTATAGCTGGTCTAGAAGCAACTCCCTACCCGGACACAAAGACTTCCAGGCACAGGGGACTCTGATAAGGGTGCCCAGAGTAGCAGACCACACCTAACTAGGCTTCCCAAGTACTGAAGCCACCACCAGAAGCACACCTACCTAGGGGCCCCTGATAGAAAGGCCCCCTCAAGGCCCCTGAAGCTCAGGTGTACACCCACTTCAGCCTCATGGCCTGTTCCTTTGCAGAGTACCATGATCTCCAGGCTGCCTCTCCTGAGCTCCTGTGATCTCCAGGAAGGAGTCAGCTTTCTTGGAGGTCCTGGGAGCTTCAGTATCCTTTGCCCACCCTGCTAGGTTCAGGACCACAGGAAGGCAGCAGGACCAGGGTTGTGAATGCTCCCTGGATAGGAGGAGTGAGAAGGTTTCTGCAGATATGAGTCTTTCTGCCATGGGCATTTCTGAGTTTAGGAGAGGCTTACATGGTGTGTGCCCCTTTGAGGAAAGGGGGTGGGTCTCAGCCTCTTTAAGCCCACTCCAGCAGCAGGCACAGTAGAGTAGCCTCTGTTGCAGCCTGTCTGCTGGGATGGCTGGAATTAACACAATTACCATCAAATGTAGCCCCAGGGGAAAGCCAGTTTCACACTTCCCCTTCACTCTGCTGGCCTCTCTGGCTGCCAGCCAAGGTGTTCAAGGCCCAGAGCTGCTGAGCAGAGACTTGGGAAGGACAAGCTGGTCGGTCTGGGTGACTGTGGTCCTGTAGCCCCACTCCACCCTGGGGATCCCCACATGCTCCTCACCTGTAGGACCAAGGCCAATCTCCACGTTGCCTCTCTGGAAGTCACAATGGCTTGGATGCTCAGGCATAACGAGGTGGCGACTTCGATGTAAGCTGGATATAAGGGTGGGGAGGTTGTTGTCCTGGCTACAGTAGAGCAAGACAGGGCAGGCCATGAACTGTCACATGGGCTGGGAGTCTGGCACACAGAGTGTGAGCATGGGAGTGCAAGACTCAGGGACTGTGCGTAGAGTATGTGAAGCCAGGTGCATACCTCTATGTGAAGCCAGTGACACCACACACATGCACCCTCCACTAAGCAGACCAAAATGAAGCAGGGACCTGTCACTTAGCCCCCACTGCAGCTCTGGGACAGCTCCTCCACTATTCTTTGCAGAAAGAATAGTGTTGTGCCCTGTTCTCTGCCTTGGAGGGCAGCCAGATGTCCTGTCTCCTACAAGACAGGCCTAGAGAGGACAAGCTGATACATACATGCTGCCAGCTTCTCAGCAAGAGCATTATAAACACTCCCCAGCTCCTAGTTACTTCAAATAAGGAAAGTGAAGTTCTGACCACAACTCTGTAGTTGACAAGACTCATACTCATTACCAGAGTGCCAGCAGGCATAGGGGACACGCCACTCATGGGTGGGCCAGGGACTTGCAGTCAGACCCTTTGGGCTTGGTCTAGCACCCACTTAACTCTTTGTTCTCTGTTTTTCCCTTCTGCTCAGTCAACTGAATCCTCATTCTCAAAGCCCCAAAGAGGAGTTCTGTAAGCACCCCCACAACAGTAGAGAAAGGAATAACAGGAAACCCAAGCCAAGACAGGGCAGGAGCTCAGCGCCCTGCACATGCCCTCCCAGGGCCCACCTTTGGCAGAGTGACCTCAGTGGCTCCAACCCTGGCAGAGCCTTCACGCAGTGACCTAGGGAAACCGACCCTGAACCTCATTAAATAGCTCCCAAACCCTGGTCAGGGTGGCTAGAGCTGGGCTAATCCAGAGCTGGCCCCTAAGCAGATCAGTTTCATCAGCAGATACCCCAGGGGGCCCTAGCAGGCCCAGATGTGGTATACTCTCCACCCCAGTGCAGACCCAGAGGGCAGGTGGGGGTGTAAGTACTTTATAGGATTAAATGGCAAGAGGCTCATCTCCTGCGTCTTCATTGACATGAGGGTGTCAGAGAGAATTGCTGTCCTCAGCATGAAGAGGTTATAGGCTGGCCAGGCACAGGCTGCTGCAGCTGCAGAGTGGCTCCCCACGGGGACCCCCTTCTTGTTGGGGGGCGAGCCAGCTTTTAGAGACTCCAGCAAGAGGACAGAAAGTCTGCTCTCTGAACCCACCTGGCCCTCTAAAGGAGGAAGACGGCCCCTGTCTGGATCTGTGTCTGGAATAGCCCTGATGACAGCCATCAGGATCACTGGACATTGGGGGCATGACCCTGTGGAGGCGAAACCTGGTGGGAACAGGGCTTGAATTCGGCTTCTCTTAGGAGTTCACTCTGTGTGCCCAAAGGTGACCCAGGCCTGAAAAGCCTGTTCCCACTTGGTCATTCACTGAACAAATTATGCTGGTTTTATGCAGATCTGAAAAAACACTTCACACATACCTGACTGAAAAAAAAAGCTTGAAGAATATCACAGCATGAGGTTCTTGAAGCCAAAAATCACCCCCTGCACCCCATTGCATCCCATTGTACCACACCACACACTAGGGACCAAGTCCTGGAGGGTCTCAGGGAGCTGTGGCATTGGGGAGAAGCTGGAGGGCAGGAAAAAGCTAGACTGCTGCAGGGGCTGGCTATGAGGAGGCCAGAAGGAGAAAGGGATTTGCCCAGAATACTTGCAAGGAGGAGGGCACCCTGTTCTGTGATTATCATGTAATCCAGACTTGTCCCCCTCCTTATCAATTTAGGGGTCCTGGGGGCCAGGGACTGTGTTACCTTGGGTTTCATAGGCAGAAGTGGGGGGGGGCTATGGATCTCTGCTTGTTCTAAGCAGGTAGGTGGTTCACTGTAGGGTTAGCCAGAGGACCAGAGACAGATGGACAGATGAATGGGTGGAAACAGGTGAACAGACAAGAGGAGAGTGACAGACAGACATAGATACATAGGAGACTGGATATAGAAGAATGGGTACGTGGGCCAACAAGACAGAATAAAGAGCCAGGTGGGAATAATACAAGGCACCTGGCCCTGACCACCTACAGCACTTCCTTCCAGATACTGGGCCCCTCAATAGGTGAGCAGAAGGTTGTCAGTCTTCCTAGGAAGGCAGTCTTCCTCTCCTTTTGGTAGAATCCTGGCTCTTGGAACTAAGGAGCTATTGGCCCAGGCCTGGCTCCATGGAGGGGTACCAGGCTACAGCTGTTGGCAATGTGACAGAACTGTGTAGGTACGCCTCCACCAAGGCCTGGTGAATGTGAAGAGGGGCCACAGGATGGGGATCTTCTCCTAGAGGGGAGGGACAGCTGCCAGCTTCCCTATCAGCCTTTGCTGACAAATTTATCTAGTAGTGTATAAAGTAAAAGGCTCATAAAATGTCATCCATGTTCATGATGGTTCATAAAAATGATCAGTTGCGCTGGCAATTCTAAAATGAGGTGGAAATAAGTTTAAAGATGTTTTTATTGTAGTTCACCTCCAGGATGCAGGTGTTCTCAGTCATATAAATAACACCACATCTGGCAAGAAGCCAGGATAGACTCATTCCCAAGTAAGGCTGGCCTAGGGGCTTGCCTCTCACAGCTCTGGCTACAGGAGGTTAGTCCCTTCCTGAAGCTACAACTTACTATCAGACTCCTCCTGAAGTACTCCCCTGGAAGCCATGAGTAAGACTGGACCCTACTACCCAGAAGCCACAGCTGGGCTATGCTCACAGACTGACTATCCATGCACTTAATAATAGGAACCTAGGCCTTCCCAACACTCCAGCCTCCTTGTCTGGGGTCTTCATTTTTATCTCCTTGCTACATCCTACATTTGTAGCCTCCTTACTGCTTCCATAGCCTGAGTCCATATGGTTCCAGGCAAACTACTGACCTGCCAGGCAGAGGTTTCTCCAGAAGAATCTTTTCAAAACACATAACGGTCACTTCCACGATGAAGAACTTTCTGTGGTTCCTCTTGTCTTGAGGACAAAATCCAACAGAGGTTCAGCATCTAAGGCTCAGACCTTTGGCCTCCAACTGCTCTAGACCCGCCTCTTATACCCTCTTCCCTCATTCCAGTACAGCGCTGCAGACCTTTTCCCCAATGAACTCTTATACGCCCTTCAAGGCACCACTCATATATCACCTTTCTCACCTCTTGGTGCATCTCTGGGACGGTAGGGGCCTCATCCATTGCAGTCTCATCTTTGAGCAGATGGATGCAAATGGAAAGTCTCTTCAGGGATAGCATATACTCTGGTTCCAGGGGTGTTCTTCCTAGAATTGTTGACTGTGCTGCCACTGAGGCCTAGCACAAGCCTATACTTAGCCAAGATGGGATTCTGCCACCCACCTCCCAGGTTGGGCAAGAAGCCAGCGTAGGAACCTGGTGGATGCTCAGCTCACATTAGCTCACACTGACCAGAGTAATGGACAATACAGGAGACCATAGGCAGAGGAGGGATGAAAGGCAGGCAACCTGAGAACTTACAAGCAGGCCCAGGGGAAGCAAAACAATAAGCTCCCTGCTGCTAGTGCTGTGTGGGCAGAAGCCTCACAAGCTGGGACTCCTACCTGCAGGAAGTTTCTCTGAAGGAGATGTTCACATCCCAGTGGGTGTGGACTCTGAAAAGGGAGAAGCAGGGGGTCAGTATGACTCTAGGACCATACCTGGACAGAAGGGTGTGCAAGCACCCAAGTCAAGTGCCCTGTAGGACCAACCAGTGGTTGAGGGGCAGTGCCCCATACTAATTTCAATATGTTACAGCTTCCACTGGCCAGATTAGAGTCATTTTTGGCCTTACCAGAAATGAATAGGGACAACTTCACTTCGTGTACCCAGAGGAGATTTACCGCATGGGAGAGGGGTGTCTTGAAGTTTCATCATTTCATGTTTATTATACTAAAACCAAATTCCTAGTTGCTAGAGCTGCTTCAGCCAGTGTGGGACCACATCATGGAGAAGGCTCATAGCAGCCACCAGAAGAGGACTTGGAGCATCAGTCCAGGTAGATGCAGCCCCTAGATCCTGCTGACACCAATCCCCACCCCAAAAGTGACCTCTGCACAGAGGTAAGACACTAGGATGACATGTTAGTAAAGGTTCCTTCCTGTGCTGCCTCCCACAGTGTTTGCAGAAGACCCCCAACTTTGATGCAGCACCCAAGGGGAGCTTCCTGGCTTTGCCATGGAATAAGTACCTTCTCTTCATGATATGGATGTATGG